ATCTTTCTCGAATTTTGGTAAAGTAGCATTTTTTGTATAAAACGTTCAGATTAACTTAGACCATAACTGGAAGGAGCAGTATAAGTGCGGTATTCATTTTTCCCTCGCGTTTTTTGGTGAATTAAGAAAAGTGGTGATATAGGAAGACAAGGGCAAGCCATATTTCACCTATGCTTACCTGAATGATCTGTTGCCAACACCTCTCTTCCACCGAGTATTAGTGTCTTTTTGTGCTTTTGAATTGTATATCAGTATACATCTACATTTCCATCTCATTTATTATATCACCAAACACAAGACAAGATAAAATGTACTTTAAACTTAATTTCAAGTACAAAACAATAAAATTTACATTTACATCAACATTACATTCTAGACAAAAACAGTCAAGATCAGTGCTACCTGTTGAGAAGTCAAATCCATTGTATTGTCTTTACTTATCCCACAATACAAATATATTATAAAATAGAGCACTATATGCTAAGAATAGGCAAATCAAACAACATTTGTACATGCACACATAAAATTCAAAATTTGTGTACAAAATATTACAAAATCAGCATAACATCATAAACTGTGAAATCATTTATTTTCGTGGGGTTTTCTATTACGTTGACTTCGTAGATAATCTTCATCCACGAATTCATAGGTCCATGAAGTCATTGCAAGTTTGATATAAAGCAATCCTCCGTTTAAGTTGATACTCGTAATCCATGAATTCATTAACCTACAAAATGGTATTTTGTCCTTAAACCACGAAGGGTCCTACACAAATATCTGATTTCACAGGTATGGAAGAGCCCGAAAGTAAATTGTTACACATTTGAGAGAGCTGTAATTCTCAGGTAGCGTACTCCATAAGGCCTATCCCTACAGTCTCAGAGCGCTCCTTCAGCTGTGTCATTGCCGGCTCTGATGCTGCGTTATTACGTCTGACATGGTCTAATCGCTCCTACAGCTGTGTCATTGCCGGCTCCTGATGCTGCGTTATTACGTCTGACATGGTCTAATCGCTCCCTCAGCTGTGTCAGTGCCGGCTCCTGATGCTGCGTTATTACGTCTGACATGGTCTAATCGCTCCCTCAGCTGTGTCATTGCCGGCTCCTGATGCTGCGTTATTACGTCTGACATGGTCTAATCGCTCCCTCAGCTGTGTCATTGCCGGCTCCTGATGCTGCGTTATTACGTCTGACATGGTCTAATCGCTCCCTCAGCTGTGTCATTGCCGGCTCCTGATGCTGCGTTATTACGTCTGACATGGTCTAATCGCTCCCTCAGCTGTGTCATTGCCGGCTCCTGATGCTGCGTTATTACGTCTGACATGGTCTAATCGCTCCCTCAGCTGTGTCATTGCCGGCTCCTGATGCTGCGTTATTACGTCTGACATGGTCTAATCGCTCCCTCAGCTGTGTCATTGCCGGCTCCTGATGCTGCGTTATTACGTCTGACATGGTCTAATCGCTCCCTCAGCTGTGTCATTGCCGGCTCCTGATGCTGCGTTATTACGTCTGACATGGTCTAATCGCTCCCTCAGCTGTGTCATTGCCGGCTCCTGATGCTGCGTTATTACGTCTGACATGGTCTAATCGCTCCCTCAGCTGTGTCATTGCCGGCTCCTGATGCTGCGTTATTACGTCTGACATGGTCTAATCGCTCCCTCAGCTGTGTCATTGCCGGCTCCTGATGCTGCGTTATTACGTCTGACATGGTCTAATCGCTCCCTCAGCTGTGTCATTGCCGGCTCCTGATGCTGCGTTATTACGTCTGACATGGTCTAATCGCTCCCTCAGCTGTGTCATTGCCGGCTCCTGATGCTGCGTTATTACGTCTGACATGGTCTAATCGCTCCCTCAGCTGTGTCATTGCCGGCTCCTGATGCTGCGTTATTACGTCTGACATGGTCTAATCGCTCCCTCAGCTGTGTCATTGCCGGCTCCTGATGCTGCGTTATTACGTCTGACATGGTCTAATCGCTCCCTCAGCTGTGTCATTGCCGGCTCCTGATGCTGCGTTATTACGTCTGACATGGTCTAATCGCTCCCTCAGCTGTGTCATTGCCGGCTCCTGATGCTGCGTTATTACGTCTGACATGGTCTAATCGCTCCCTCAGCTGTGTCATTGCCGGCTCCTGATGCTGCGTTATTACGTCTGACATGGTCTAATCGCTCCCTCAGCTGTGTCATTGCCGGCTCCTGATGCTGCGTTATTACGTCTGACATGGTCTAATCGCTCCCTCAGCTGTGTCATTGCCGGCTCCTGATGCTGCGTTATTACGTCTGACATGGTCTAATCGCTCCCTCAGCTGTGTCATTGCCGGCTCCTGATGCTGCGTTATTACGTCTGACATGGTCTAATCGCTCCCTCAGCTGTGTCATTGCCGGCTCCTGATGCTGCGTTATTACGTCTGACATGGTCTAATCGCTCCCTCAGCTGTGTCATTGCCGGCTCCTGATGCTGCGTTATTACGTCTGACATGGTCTAATCGCTCCCTCAGCTGTGTCATTGCCGGCTCCTGATGCTGCGTTATTACGTCTGACATGGTCTAATCGCTCCCTCAGCTGTGTCATTGCCGGCTCCTGATGCTGCGTTATTACGTCTGACATGGTCTAATCGCTCCCTCAGCTGTGTCATTGCCGGCTCCTGATGCTGCGTTATTACGTCTGACATGGTCTAATCGCTCCCTCAGCTGTGTCATTGCCGGCTCCTGATGCTGCGTTATTACGTCTGACATGGTCTAATCGCTCCCTCAGCTGTGTCATTGCCGGCTCCTGATGCTGCGTTATTACGTCTGACATGGTCTAATCGCTCCCTCAGCTGTGTCATTGCCGGCTCCTGATGCTGCGTTATTACGTCTGACATGGTCTAATCGCTCCCTCAGCTGTGTCATTGCCGGCTCCTGATGCTGCGTTATTACGTCTGACATGGTCTAATCGCTCCCTCAGCTGTGTCATTGCCGGCTCCTGATGCTGCGTTATTACGTCTGACATGGTCTAATCGCTCCCTCAGCTGTGTCATTGCCGGCTCCTGATGCTGCGTTATTACGTCTGACATGGTCTAATCGCTCCCTCAGCTGTGTCATTGCCGGCTCCTGATGCTGCGTTATTACGTCTGACATGGTCTAATCTCTCCCTCAGCTGTGTCATTGCCGGCTCCTGATGCTGCGTTATTACGTCTGACATGGTCTAATCGCTCCTTCAGCTGTGTCATTGCCGGCTCCTGATGCTGCGTTAGTACGTCTGACTATGTCTAATCGCTCCTCCTGCATACATGTATCATTGTATCCTGTTGACTTAGCTGGTTACGCGAATCCCTTGGAACCATCTAATAATGGCACAGATGTTGGGGTATAAATGGGGGTCCTTCTTCTTCACCTCACCGTGCCAGACTTCCAGGTGATTGGTATATACGCAGGGCGGGGCCATTCTGTGTTGCATTTGTTCCAACTACGGCGATCTCACTCGTCAATTGCATTGCGACATTTTTAATGAAGGGAGTGTTGCCCCTGGGTAGTCTAGCATCCTTTAGTTCCTCCAAATTGTTGAACGACATATTCCTCATGCTTACTAACAGCACGAAGGGTAACACCTCAGCCAACCACGCAAGTTTGCTGATGTCATCATTTTCTCTGTAACGTTGTTTTAGTCTAGTCTGCTGGGACTTTCACCATATACATAGTGTGAAGTGATAAAACACCGATGGTAAATCAAAGTAATACTTGTCATAGAGTATAGCCCTTAAATCCAGGAACGTAACTGTCAAATTTCAATATCTATTTTCATAGAAATTCAAAATCCTGTCAGTTTAAAACCTATTTATGATAAGAAAATCATGGATTAAGTCTGTAAAATGTCTTTTGCATTGTGCAATTTTGCAGCTACATGTAATAAAGTTAAAGTGATTTATATCTAGCACAATATTGTAAAACATGTATATTAAAAATCATTGATATTTAGAATATATATTATACTAAATAATTAAGCAGTTGTCTTTTTCTATTCATCTATTTATTATTTGTATCTTATTCTTTTATCGCTTTGACCGGACTACAGAGGTACCATGGTCGTCCTGTGCAACAATTGTATCCAAATTGGAAGTTAAGGGGAGGTTACTGTGATAAGAAAAACACAGTAAAGTGAGACAGGGATCCTAAGTGTTGGAGCGGTTCATTACAACAAACGGTAGGAAAGTGGGATATAATAACAAAATCATAGAGATATCGCAACCATCGTATTATGAGTTTGAAAGTTTGAAAACTTTTAAAGTCGTTTCCTCTAATTGAGCTGTCCCTTTCTACTCCACACTAGAGTAATATATTTTATTTTTCCTTCATCACTTTTAGCACCCATTATGATGTATATTGAAGTGTTTCCACGGTTAACTTATCTTTTTATTTCGTAAGACGGGGGTCTTCTTTATACATTCGTCCTTCCCTAATTCCAGGGAGTCCTCAGTTAAGTAAATATTTTTCGAGTTATACTTTTTTATATCGTGAGAAAAGCGTAGTTGTGTTAACACCTACTCCGTGACATAGTTAAAAACTGAAATCAACAGATCAGTGCATTTATTTGAGCATTTTAACTCCTGCTCAAATTATCGGGGCATAATCCGCGGAACTTTCATTGTACATAACTTACTTGTTGTAGTGGATTATCTCCCTTTACCTCCTGCCATTGAGTTTTGCATTACTGTAAAAAATGAAGAGCTCAAATTCATGTTTACATGTCGAGGGTAGAAGATATTTGTCTTCTCGGATGCATATATCTCTGTTATTGTTTGTAACGTTAAGTAATTGATATATCCTTAAATATGAACTATTCTTAATATGAGATGTACCTGTACTGTATTATTGTATATGTTATACAGTAACTATATGGTTTCGAAATTACCATGATTAATGGTATTTCACGCTTTCAGACACTACGCAGACAATGATATAGTATTGTCTAGTTTGGCTCGCTGAAGAACAAATAAGATTACGAATTGTAAATAGTATAAATTGTTTTATTATCATAAGTAATGTTGTTTCCTGTTAAAGCTGCAGTCACTTGTTTTGTTGGTATTTGCAGCTGATCAATGCGAATTATCATAGATATATCGGTTCACATTTCACAGTATTTCACAGTGGTAGAGTCAGACCGCTATACAGAAACCCTCATCTGAGGTCATGTATATATCACTCTAGAGTTGTGCCCCATTCACTCGTTGTACCTTGTTACGTTTGAATGACTTACTCACCTTTTCTGTTAAAACCTTACATTTCCTTATCTATAGCCATGCATTTATTATTACTTTATCAACATGATAATTTTATGTTGTGTATAGAATTATATTTCAATTCGATATACATGAAGTTGTAATGTCCATTATGACTTTAAATTCGTTTGATGCAGTGTTTCCCCCACACTTCCCAGGTGCATTTCCTGTTTGCTAAGGAAAGGATAAACCATGTCTTTACTTGCTCATGTAAACATCGCGTCAGCCCTTTATACCTTGTAAACATCGCGTCAGCCCTTTATGCAGTGTAAACGGAGCAGCGTTATCAATACTTTGTCACACATATCATGCACCCGTAATGATGGTGCGATGCACTTGATTTCACTATTATCTTAATTTCAGAACAGAATAATATGGATGAAAAATAATTTATTATTCTCTCAGTGTGAAGCAGGCAGAGAGAATCTCAACCCTCGGGATAAGATTTTCAAAGTTGAAAACTGAGCAAGGCCGCATGCAAAACTTTGAATTTCTTACCCTCGATTTGTGTTTTCTCTGTGTGCACGCACCACAAGAAAATGATAGATTATATTTGTCAGTCATATCATTTGCAGGATATACACTTGTATCATATAATTTCTAATATTACTTTACATTCTCACATGTACGGTAATTTCCCCTCATTCATTATCACTTCATCCTCTTATATATATACGATAAATGATGTATCATTTACTCCGTGGTGGCTATGCAATGTATATGGATATCAAAATGAAAGTCGTCAAATGAAGTTACAAGAGACAGTCACACATCTGCATTCATTCTCTCTATACATCGTGCGGTTATATATGGCGTCTTAGCATCAGGCATAGCACCAGCGATGAGTTATCTTGCTTGGATGACAATTTCATTTTCACTCTCCGCACTATAAAAAAAGGAAATGTTTGTTTTAAGCAATTATTGACCTATCAATCAATGAAATGTTACACCGTACATTGCCTGTCAATCACTCCGGTGATTACTTATATACTGCTAAACATGCTTATAAGGGGCATGGTAGTTTATCAAGTGTTATTAATATTTTTTGTAGTGTTATATTCAACCACCTACTTAATCAGCCTTCATAATAGTAATATACATACCAATTGATTTAGTTAACATATCATTTTGTTTATATATATACAATAAGACCGATGGGATGTTTTATTTATTGTTTGACGTTGAGGAATATAAATAATTATTATTGTGAGTGTATTATTGCAGACTATCAATGTCTGGATTAGAGTGTAACATCGAATTGACTATTACTATTATATCGGAATTTTGTGCTATGATGTTCAACACAAATCGAATCATGCTGTTGAGAATACCCGATAGGTGGAAAATAGATATTACATTCAGGCATTAATGGCAAACGTATTTACATGGTCGTTATCTCAGCAAAGTTCTATCGACAAAAGTGATAACATGTCGACATAAATTAAAAATTTATCGACATATTCATCTGTTATGTCGACATCTTTCTCCAATTATCCCAACATCTTTCGAATGATATGTCGACATACCATGAATGTAACTAAATAAGTCGTAAGTCGATTGCAGAAACATGCCACCATAAATCATAATACGTTTTTTTGTATTTTTGCTTACCTAGAGCACACATAGAGGTTGTTGGTCCATGCATCAATCACACTAACTACGCATCATCTTTACAAATTCTGTGGGGAAAATGAAAACCAATAAATTATATACCTGAAAATGTAAAGTATTGCATGTGCATATATCATTTTATAAATCTCTATTTATCAAAATCAATTTGTATCTAATTATATCATATACAAAATAAAAAACGTAAAACAGAAGGAAAGCATTAATCTAATCTTTGAGACGTTTTGACGGGCTTTTAATAGTGACGTCATGATATAACGTCGTCATCTATTGTAACGTCATAATAGAAAAGTCATGAAGTGCATCCATGTAGGATTAATAAAATAGTTAAATCAATTGGGAAGAGATAACTAGAATCTCTCTCCATCTATGGGATAAGACAGAAAAATCTCAACCCGAGGGTAACATTCCTGAATGTCTAACACGATGCTTTGCCGCACTAACAATGTACATATTAAACGTGTCGTAACGTTTCTAAACCGACTGCTGGTCAAGCTATGACTGAGTAATGAGTGACCAGGGGATTAGGCGGTCTTGAAATGCTCCGACACTTTTAATACAGATATCGTTACATAAAACATAAAACAAACATACTATATATAAATTAAAACATATAGATTCTCATTAAATGCAACATTTCTATACAGAAATAAGGATAAAACAAGCACAGAAAACTAGGAACTATACATATTTAAAGATATGAAATATGTGCATGATAACTAAAACATAGATGATTTTGTCAACGTTTAATAAGTATATCATTTGCGTTAAACTGAGATATCCTTTAATTGTGTGACTATATACATGTCATTACATTTCGAAAGTGATCATTTTACGCTTGGGGATAAACGTTATCATTGAAGTCAAGGGACTAAAAACATAAACTTTAACAATAAATTCACTTTAAAATTGTTGGTGCTTATCCAGCTTTCCTAATACAATTTGAGCAACCAGGACAGTCAACAAAAAGGTATTGAACGGGCTGTTTTAACTCATTCAGGTATAAAACAAATTCAGTTTTATCCATTTTGCATGAAACCCAGTAGGCAATTATGTTTATTATAGATACAACTGTTGTGCGTTCATACCGATATGAATGTTAAAACGAAAACTTTTTCCAATAATTATATTAACAATTGAAATTTATACTAATAATCAGCGAAATATAGTTATTTAAATATTTCTTTATATTTGTGGTATCGAAGCGTCTTTATCATCGGTGCAATTAACAACCCCAGAACAGTTTAACGTAATCAAAATATGTGCTTCTTACGATAGCATCTAACGTTAGTGTGTATGAAGAAAAGACATCCACTGCAAGCTTCTCTTTAAACATTACCAGAATAAATTGCGTTTATAGACCTATGAACGCAATTTGATCAGCGTCATTTTGAAGCCTCTCCTCCCGCCTCAAATAATAATTAGACATCCATTAGAAGCAAACATTTTGGTGATGTTAGGCTGTTAGGAATTTCGTTTGTACCTACGTCAGAGACTCTTCAACATCGAAAATAAAAGGGAATATCTATATTTAGGTTAATAATAACTTCATGGAATATGTGTGTGACCGATTTGCGTTCATACTATCATGAAATTGAAAAAAATACCGTTGAATCCTTTTATGAATGCAATTCATGCAGTAGAACTGTAAATATACCCTCATAATTGACATGTCCGTCTCCATCCACATCCGCTTCATTTATCATCTCCTCCACCTCCTCGTCTGTTAGTTTTTCCCCTAGGTTAATCATAATGTACCGAAGTTCAGCAGCACTAATAAAACCATTCCCGTTGGAATCAAACGTCCTAAAAGCCTCCTTTAACTCCGCATCGCTGTCGTCATCAACTATTTTCCTTGACATCATAGTTAAAAATTCTGGAAAATCTATTGTACCATTTCCTGTAATTGAAATATATCTATTGCAAAGAGAATACCAGTTTCAGATGACTTAATATCAAGTATCATATCTTAAAATAAGGCAGTATCAACAACATTATGTAAACTAAACTCATTCACCCTTGAAGACACATTTGAACTATTCCAATTCAAAGGTTGGAAAAGTTCATTATGAAACTTCAGGGGTGAATAAGTTAATGTAAACAATAGAGGGGCATGAGGAAAACTAGACGCAAATGCAGATGTGCTCCCTTGTAACAATACAAGAACTTCACATGCATATTCATTGATTACAATATTATTCTGTAATCTAAATTGCAGTTTAGTGTTGATAAACGTACTAGTATTAAAGTATACGCTTATACGTTTTAAGACATCAACTATTACACACATTAGTTGCAATTCAACCAGGCTCGTTTGCGCTGATTGAAAAGTGTTCAGGTCGAGTTTCATAGTTCCTTTACGACATGATATAATTTAAAACATTCTCTTTTTACATAACCAACAATGTATAGAAAAATTTATGAAAAGCAAGTGTTTATCAAAAAAAAATCAACGTTGCCGTTTCGACATCATTTATTTTGTCTTCAACCTGACGTCAAAGCCATGACGTCGTGTCTATTGTCTTAATCCTGACATACCAGTGGAGGATTTTACATGACATAACAAGAAAAAAAAATGACGTTTTCATTGCAAAACAGGGTAGCTATTCATTAGAGAACTTCAATAAAAGGATCACTACAGTATTTGTCGCTTCATTGCTGAGAGTAAGAGTTTTATTTATTATAAGACTAAATACCCTTAGCAAAACCGTGTAAAGTAAAACTCTGTCATACTGCCACCATTTGGACAGAAAATAAATTAATAAGTTAGGGAAATGTTGTTAACTTAACTGAAATCTTAAGAAAAGGATAAAAACGGACCTTTAGTTATGTTGGCGGTAGCCAAGGTGGCAAATGAAACCAATGGCATTATATCGAAGTTTCACTTAATGTTCTGTGTTTTGCCTTATCGGATGGTTACCGTCAGTGTCCACTTCGTTTATCATGTCCTGAAGTTCGGCCTCTGTAGGGTTCTGACCAAGGGACCGCATCACTGTACCAAGCTCTTTGGACGACACGAAACCGTCACCATCTTTATCAAACAAACTGAAGGCCTCTCGGAATTCTATTTTGCACAAGATTACAAAATTAACTACATGATGCCAACAAGGAAGAACTTGAAAACAATTATACATCTATATAATATGTGGAAATGATTAATTGTTTTGAAACGTTTGAATGCATATGTATATACCAGTATATTTACTTTAAACATATACATGTGTATAAGAACAGCCTGCTAAATGATATGGATTTGAGAGACCTGGGCCGGTATTCATGAAACCGTTCTCATGCTCAAGCAAGGACTCAAACCAGTTTTCTTGTAACTTACTTAAACCATGTCAAACCATCAAAAAGTCAACTGTAAACATTGACCACAGTATTCGCTTTTAAGTCTATTCAAATTTAAGAATGAAGATTGTTTTTAATACTTTATAACTGAAAATAAGAAATTAGGCTTGATCACAGAAGCAATGCTTGATAATAGTTGTTTAAACTAGAAATCAATACTTGAGCATGATAATAGTTGTTTTAATTAGAAATCAATAATTGAGCATGATAATAATTGTTTAAATTAGAAATCAATAATTGAGCATGATAATAGTTGTTTTAGTTATAATTCAATACTTGAGCATGGTACTAGTTGTTTTAATACCTGCACAGGTGTCATATTAGGGTCGACCATATCTCAGGATAACAGGTATTACTAGATTAATGAATCTGTTATATGTCAGTAGATTGTGAAACTCTATGGTTACCTTCAATATGTTCTTCTGTCATCTGATCAGCCTGAAAATAACATATTACTAACAACTTAATATTTTACACATGGTGAAATAATTGTTGAGATATCATCATAAATTTAGTATATGTCACCTGGAATGTCTTCTTAAACATGAGTATATCAAAGATTATATAAAATAAGATATTTTAGCTTTGAGAGTGCATTCTGCTCAAAGACGTTTTAAACAGACTTTCTGACAAATTGTCCAAACGTGCTAATACACAAAATGATGTTTTGTAAGAAGTCAGGTTCCTAAATATGATATAGTAAATAGAAAATGCAGTATATTTCTTTTACTTTTCATACTGTAGAACATCAGATATAGAGGTGGGGGGAAGGGTGTGGGGCTACAATAAAAAGAAGAGCAAACGACTTCAAGTACAGTCAAACTTTCCTAAGTAATATGATGATGACGTCACACTTATAATTACATCATATCATCATTTTCAGAGTCATAGTCTCTGAACTCACCTGACTATGGTAGGATTGTGTTATGTAAATATTATGATCTTACATCTATAAGCTGACTTTCCAGGGTTTATAAAGTGACTGAGGTATGGTCACATAACTTGCTTTAGTTTTGTAAGCGACACTATTGAATGTTGTGGTCTCAAAACGCACAACTAACTATGGTGGGTTTAGAAATTGGCAATATTTTGGTTTCAAACGTCACAGCTAAATCTGATGGGTTTAAGCTGTAGTTAAGCATAGTAATACATTTTTGTTTAAACAGTTACCATATGGTATGTTCATATATGTAACATGGATATATAATTTGAAATATACTCCTGGCATATTACACCGTTTAGTCATTACGATAATCAAAGAAATCGACATTGTGAATCATTTACATCCCCATAATTATTTTGGCAAACTGAGTGAAAATATGATGATTTTATTAAATCTTTGTATAACATTGACCATTGGCGTTAATACTCTAGTGTGCTGTTTTATAATTAAGATATGACTAATGTGGCTAATATTCCTTTCTGAGCTTAGTCATAAAGTCCTTATTACGCTATGCACCCACTCTAACTTTGACGATAGTTCTTCTGTGTGTCAGTTTAATGATGAACGTTACACACACGGGATACAGCACCTTTAAATGTTGATATAGAATTATACTACATCATACAGCAATCTAATGTATGTGTGACTCTTGAAGTAGGTGACTGAACCCTTAAAATTTGGTATATGTAATTGATACAGTATGCCAAAATGAATTACACTGCATCACACAATTGTTTAATTTATATGTGGTTATTGGGAATATTTCTTTGTTAACTATAGTCCTATTACGATTATGACCCACTATACTACACTACAATATGTTGACTGTAAATATGATATCAGAAGTAAAAGTCAACATCTCTTTTCAAAAGTGAAGTCGACTTTCCTCTATGGTAAATAACACATGTGTATACAGATACAAAATCAACGATTATGATCAGCTATCTCAGCAATACAAAAATAGACAATAATACAATTTCTTAATTTACAGCAATGGAAAATCAAAATATTCATTGAAATCATATGTTGTTAAATTAAGGTAATTTAGACAGAATGCTTACCATGTTTATTGCTGGAGATATCTTCTTCCGCTCAATGCGCAGACAGGTTAAATGTGTGGCGAAGTAAGCGCATGGTTCAGTTGTCTGTGTATTGTAAGCACAAGTTTGAACTTCCCAGTACCAAACATTTAACACTGGTGGCTGCCATTACGCATATACGTCTATTTAATTCCTGTTGACTAATATAATGTAGTTGTATCTAGGGTATACTTTAACTGTAACTTGATATGTTAGAAGAGTTATTTACCTGTGAGTTAAAGGAAAGCATGTTTGATTTGAATCCTGAAGTTGGAGTTAAAATAATTGTATTACCTCAAATATCGATAAAATCATCTGTGTAAATTAGATTGAATGCTTCTGATAAGCTGTTCTGTTCAAATATTTGTTACGTTTGAATGAATTTAAAAAGGATTTATTTGGATTTTATTCCCAATAATGAATACAATTTGCATTAATAAGAACGAGAGAAATATTCTGACGAAAAGAATTTACATCTAAACTGACCGATAAATCTAGATATCAAACTTAATAGAAGTGCGGTTTAGTAATGGACAAACCCTACCATACATGTTTATGGGGATAGTCATTGTAGAACTGTAATAAAGGGTTATAAATAACATTAGCCTACTTAAACTTGATTACTACACTTGATTAAATATCCCCTACATGTATTTCGTTTTAACATGTATTGCCTCGACCTTGATGACCTTTCAAAACATGTTGGTTGGTATTGCCTTTAATCATTAAATACTATCTTCATGGTCTGTAGTCTTCTGTGGGAGAACAATGGCGGCCATGTTTGATACCCGACATAGGTGTAGAATCAATACGCTTAGGTGTAACAGAGGTGAAGGATTGGCTGCCAAAGTAAAGGAATTTGGCGTGAATGTCCGCATTGCGACGCCGAACACGTCTTTATCCCGTGATCAGAACCTCCGTCTTATCTTTTTGACATCAAAAACAAAGTAATGTGACTTCCTACGCTATTCGGCATGTACATATACAGTATTTAACATCGTTTTACTACTTTATAACCCTACTACATTCAGATGCCATATATATAACCTATGACCGTTACGAGACAATCATTGATGTCATCTTTATTAGGACGTCGCAGTTGTGTCGTTGGATACCACTGACCCTCCCTGGACATACTAATAAAAGCTATTACCTGTAACTGAGCGAGATCAGAATATCTCAGTCGAGGGTTAAGATTCTGTAACAAAATCCCAACCGAGGCGTAAGCCGAGGTTGGAATGTTACAGAATCTTAGCCCGAGACCTAGATAACTCGATCTTGCTTAGTTACAGGTAACTGATTTTTTTCTCTCGCACTTTTTAGTTCGATCAAAAAAAAAAAAATAATCTTAAAACTTCAAGTATCACATCTGGGGCCTCAAATGATAATGACCTTTTCACTACTTAAGCTAAATTGAATGCTTCCGCGTAAACATGCTGTCCGTTCTTACATAGATGACAACGTATTTCACAGTGTAGATTATATTGTATCTACAACATAAGATATCTAACAACATTAAAACTATATATATAACAACAAAACAGAACATTTATAATGCAGATTGTCAATTTCAAGCAGTTAACGCGCGGATGAATACACCGCAGTGTAAAAATTCTGCGAAATGTCACGTAAATGTGCAAGACAGATCGGACGAGATAGAAAATCTAGCATTTGGTATGACGTGGGATATCTGTGTCTGAGGTGCGAGAATATTTTTGATCGAACTAAAAGGTGCGAGAATAATGTTTCTTAACCCTCACTGCTACGTTTGTAATTTTTACCTAATGTTGTGTTAATGCAATCTCGGGTCTCGTTACTTACTATAATAGACATTTTCAAGACAATTTGAAGTTATAGACTTTTTTTTCATCCACATACTTTGTTGTCCTGTGGGTATATGGTCGGCGTATTATGTCATCAAAAACTGTTCCAAGACGGGAATATAACGTTGTTCTTTATTTCTAGCTACTGTCGCTCTACCCAAACTGGACGATTTTCATTTAAATAATGATGTACTTTATACAATAGTATGAACTCCCTAACAAAAGTTTTTTTCCACTTTTCGTGTAAAGGCTTCATCCACTTTTATATTACAAATTTATATTTCCTGCGTGTGCTTTTATAAAAAGATTGCGAAATATCACGTATGCCCTTAAACAGGTGTTACTTTACACTGTAAGGGTCACTCTAGTCTTTGACTAATATAATGGCATAAACGATCACTATAAGCAGAAAAGTATACATAGTTCGAACATTTTAGACTAAAAGGAAGTTCTGATCAAATTACTTCTCCACACTATCATTTGTTTCGAAAAACTTAGTTTCTGTAAATGATGTCCAAAAAGATAGCGGAGCCCGGCACGTAAATAAAGAAAGTTATGTTATTTCTAAATCTTAAACTGTCCGAGTTACCAATATCAAAAGCCAAGAAAATAACGGATGTACAGTTGCATTGGCATAAAAATACTTCTTTAGTTTGAATGTCAATTTCACGACCCGTTTTCCGGCAGGTGACCCGTTTTGATTACACTAACGTTAACTTATAGTTGCATATATATTTTGGTAATTTTTCAGGATTGCCCAAAATATACTTTGGACAAATATTTAGGTTTTTTTCTGCACAGATGTACCGCATCCATCCTGCCTGTTGATAAAGTTCACTAGATAGTTATACCTAGCACCCTCGCCGCTATTTTGAAACATTACTGCAATATTGTTTCAAAGACAACAAACATTTTGTTACATTTGATAATCATATTGAGTTTATATAAACAACAGGTAGACATTTAAATATGACAACGATTCATGAGTATTCACAATGTATGCTATACTGGTTTAAATGCTACATAACTGAGTATCCCGTAACCGATATATGATAAGCAAGCACAATCTACTATTTACAAATGGAGCTATCGGATAGGATTTCCACACTATATAGGTGTTAAATCGTTATAGTTCAGTTATTCTTTTAGAATTGGATTGTTCTGGAAACATATTGTCAATATGCGTCTGACGTAAACATGGTCGACGCTGTTTATTCTCTAATGAATCGTTTCCACTGGTGAATAATCTTTCATAGTACTGGCAATCCTGATGAATTTATGGGGCTCTTGATCTGCAAATATAAAACCAAAATGAAAATTAGTTATACAGTTATATAGTTAGCCCTATATAGCTTGAATAAGCCACTCTTAAAGCGCTTTACAATATATAGATATACAATTTATACAATCAATACAATTAGCATATATATTAATCAATGTAATTTTGAGGAATTCGCATGAGCATTATCAGTCGCTAACTACCAGTCCTATGCCACCTGGCTAATATCTCCCTATGTGTGTTTGCCTGCGTGTGTGCTGGAGATGTATTGTGTTAATACAGAAAGGTGCAAAGGTAAGAATCTTCTTTTTTTCTGAATAAGGAAACATATCTCGCATACCAATGAATAAACATGTATGCGCAGATAAAATAGAAACAACACATTTTTAAAATTTCAAACAACTTGAGTGATTATTCTGAAAAGATCTGATGTACACTATTTGTATAATGTCTCGTACACGCTATATCATTACTTTTAGATGCAATGTAATGCATGCTTGGCATACTGTGTATATTACCAATTTTTGAAAGTGCAAGCATCCTTGTGTGTGTGACGTTTATCTGTTAGGATATTTGTTTTACAGAAGGGAGAACTACTTTAACGAAATCAGTTGTAAGTACATCAGTGTCTTGGGAGTAGCTTCTAAACAACACAAACAATCACATTAAGCGTTTGTCAAAAAATAAGAGAAGCATAGTCTCAATATTATAAAAACGAAAAGATATGGAAGTTGTGTTTGACCAATCAGAGCTTCAAAAACAATACAGACAAATTTAATCATAATGTCTTAGATACAGCAAGATTTAGATCCAGAGCTAACTGTTATAATCATGGAGCAGAGAGAATCTACAAAATAGCTGTTGATTTAGAAAAGACATGTAGAATACAACAACGACGTATTTCCATGACAACCAGGTTATCAAAATATGATAACACTCATATGGCTACACCATTCCTAGTATGATCCTTTGGCATTGACACTTATCACATATCAACCAAAAAGGAGAAATCACACATGCATGTATCAATTCACCTGATATTCAGTTTGATTGAAAAGGGAAGATACAATGTATACTCAAATATTGAATACACATAAAATTTGGTTTTTGCTTACTCAGCTTTTTTGTTTCCAACAATTAAGTGCAATATTTGTACATTCATTTATTGTATTTAATATTATAAAAAATATATATAGATACAGTTATTTGTTTAAAGTTAATGATTTCAATATTTAGAAACAGCCGCTTCTGCCGATATTGAAAACATTTAGAGCGACTCCATATCTAAATCTGTTCAAGATATGATTATAAGAATGAATGCGAAAGTTCGTGCACGAACATAAAAACCCACAATCCAGTCACAAATCCATCTGGTAATATTGATAGTCTAGATAATATGAGAATGTCTTTGGAAAATGAAGTATGACGAGATGGTTGCAGGTAGAACCGTTAAATTATATCAGTAACGAAGTGTACTTACATAAGCACCATTATTGGGTCATCATCATATTCACAAATTCTGTGGAGATAAAAATAAATTGTTTTACCATATTATACTATATATATTAACCTACGAAACAAGGATACTTGGCCACAAACCAACTTTCCTGTAACTCGCTTAATTCCTGTCAAATGATCAGAAAGTCAAATAAAAACCATTGAAAGCAGAATTCGGCTTAAAATCTCTTCAATTTTTTCCCAAGTCATTAACAAAATACTATCACAAAGATTTTATTTATTTACAACAGGAACAAGTTATGAGGCTTCTTAACAAAATCCATGCTTGAGCATGATACCAGTTGCATGGATACGGGCCCAAACGGTATAAGTTATAATTGATTCATCTTATCCACAAATAAAGCAACAAATTCCTATTATTATTTTAATTTTTAAGAAATCACCTGTACGTTTAACCTCTTTATATCTTATAACTTTAAACTTTTCAGGAAAAATGATGGCAGTAAAACGGGGTTTCATTTTAATGCTTTTGCATTGTTTACAGAACAGCGGGAATACATATAATATATGAATATTAATCGTCCATTATTATATTTGATCTTAAGGATATAGTTTTTAAATATTAAGCAGTGAAATATCTCGTATTATAATAAGTATGGTATTTTTTCTTTGGCATAATTCAAACTAAGCAATCTTTACCTTCATAATTAACTTTTCCGTCTCCATCAATGTCGGCCTCCTTTATCATATCATCTACTTGCTCATCTGTCAGTTTCTCGCCTAGATTCTTCATCATATGTCGCAGTTCCTCGGCTTCGATTAACCCATTACCATCAACGTCAAATATTCGGAATGCTTCTTTTAGTTCTTCCTTTTGATCGTCCGATGCTAAATTCCGATGATTTACCATCATTGACAGAAATTCTGGAAAGTCGATCGTTCCGTTCCCTATATAATAGTGAATCATTTGATAAAATTAACGTTGTATGTTCGTATGCGTGTTATTGCCATAAATAACAAAAATGCAACAATGCAAATAATTCTTATTTCCAAGTTATAACATTGCAAAACTACATAGTCAATAACTTAAGCTTACTTGTCAATGGCAGTGACCGGGGCAACTGTGCTACATTAACATCCAAACGGAAGGTAATGGGAGGGTTACTGTTTATAGAAAAGTCCATATTGCAGTTCGACAGGGTTCCTTAACATACCATCAAGATCCGCTTCGTGGATAATATCTAGTAGTTCAGACTCTGTTGGGTTCTGGCCTAGCCCTCGCATGACTGTTCCGAGTTCTTTAGCTTCGATTCGACCATCGCCGTTTTTGTCAAAGAGGGAGAACGACTCTTTATATTCTGAAATTTGCATCAAATAAAATTGTAATTACTATACATATAATGTGAAGGTTTCACATTGTATTAACATGCAGTATTACTACGCATAAATGTACGGTACGTGTTATGTGACTATGGTGTGTGTATAAAAACCAACAACGTTATATACATCTATTAAATGTTAAGACAAGTGTGATAGCGATCTATATATATATATATATATCAGAATTCAAGAGAAATGAACACGATGTACCTTCTTATTGTATACAAAATACAACCCTATATGTTTATTTGAATGAAAGATTATGTGTGTTAGTAAATTGTTAATTTTTATAGGGTTTTTTAAACTTTTGTTCCCAATACAAAGACTTCATATCTTGAAATTTCTACCACTACTGTAGCACAATACGATTGAGCCAGGTGTACTTACCTGAGGCATCGTAACCTTTCAAATAGTATACACTCTTTTATTCTTTACATAGATTACATGCAAGCCATACACTATTTTATTCTTTACATGCTATCTATGTAAAGAATAAAAGAGTTTATGACACGCATGCTATCTATGTAAAGAATAAAACAATATGTGACAAACATGCTACTTATGTAAAGAATAAATGAGTTTATGACATGCATGCTATCAATGTAAAGAACAAAAGAGTGTATGACATACATGCTATCTATGTAAAGAATAAAAGAGTTTATGGAATGCATGCTATCTATGCAAAGAATAAAAGAGTGTATGACAAACATGCTATCTATGTAAAGAATAAAAGAGTTTATGATATGCATGCTATCTATGTAAAGAATAAAAGAGTTTATGACATGCATGCTATCTATGTAAAAAATAAAAGAGTTTAAGGCATACATGCTATCTATGTAAAGAATAAAAGAGTTTATGACATGCATGATATCTATGTAAAGAATAAAAGAGTGTATGACATGCATGCTATCTATGTAAAGAATAAAAGAGTTTATGACATGCATGCTATCTATGTAAAGAATAAAAGAGTGTATGACATGCATGCTGTCTATGTTACGAATAAAAGAGTTTATGGCATTCATACTATCTGCGTAACCCAATATCATTGTGATTTATATGCGGTAATGAGTGGCAAACCAGCTGTATGAGTTACGACTACAACAGTATATGACATACCTGCTACAAAATGTCTGCGTTCAGAATACAACAATATGTGACATACCTGCTATCTGTGCTGAACTTAAATTTTCCACCTAAAAGACAATAAAAACATCGTTATATAACTAACATGAAGCATTGTAAGCTTAGCGCACCGTTACGTGAAATATATATCATTTCATATATTTTTGTAATAAGTAGAGCTTATTAGAAAAAACATGTATATTTATTTATATGGAACATTCATCAAAGGCCAAAACGTAGCTCAACAAAACAATATATTGGAAAAATGTTTGAACAGACAGTCAACTCATGTCAGTTCTTACTGTTGGGCTCAAGAGTATAAAAACCCGACAGATGTAAACAAAAGTAACACATGGTGCCACGGGAGTAAAGATAATACAACAGGCAATTTTATTAACACAGGGTAACATATTAATTAATGATGTGTCAAAAGATCACCAGGCTAAACTGAACTGCGTAATTTTCGCGAATGAAATCTTTATCAACACAATAATCTTTTATGTAAGAACTATTCAAACTAGGGATACTTTTCCTATAAAAAAAGTTGTTTGATACAAACTTGTATTTTTCACGAATGTATTAATATACATTTGTTAAGATCACTTTAATTAACGATAGACTTATTGGCCTAGTATCAACAGTTGAACAAGCAACAACTCTTCTGAACTATGACCTCAAAATGATTTATTTGATTTCAAGTCAACAACGTCAAAATGTAAAATCCTTTATCTTCTGATTAAACGAGCAATACTTTTGAATAATCAAGCACGCAGGTAATATTTTACAATGTTAGTATTCTCAACTTACCATTTCTCGATGTGTAGTTATCCGAAAATACGTTATAAACCAAAAGAGCTTATCATAAACTAAATTGATATCAGTCTGTCAAAGCGCACGGGCTGTAATGAGTACCACCACATAACAGACAATGCCAGGAACAGGAAATAGGTTATGTCGGGTAAGACCACTGAAGCGATACAAAGTCTATATAGAAAGCTTAGCACAGACCAGACCTTGGACAGTATTCAATGAACACATTTGTTGACCTGCCAGTTGACAACAATAAAAATATATTATGTTTGACCTCGGAGAGCACAAATGAAGATCATTTTAATCCATATTATAGAAAATTTACTATATATATTATTTATGTATTGAATTTCATTATAGCATGAGCAATTTCATAAGATGTTAATTGTTAACATAATTATTGATTAGGTTTTACCACATTTAATCATACATGTATTTGTAACATAAATGCGGCTGAAACCTAATTATCTTCGAGAGTTTAAATAGTGTTTTTGTTTAATTCAATTGAATTTTTCCTTCATTCTTTAATCGAGTGTTTATTCAAATATGGACCCAAATTAATAAAGGACATATAAGCTTTTACAGTGTGTGAATTCCTTTTATCAGCACACTCTTGAAATTTCAAATCAGCAAGCTGCAAGCACAAAAACTATTTCTCCATAACTATGATTACACGACAAAACAATGTCACCAGATACTGGTTAAAGATTTAAACCTGATGATAATGCTAAGCCCAGTGACTCTTGAAACATTATCTGGTTTGATCGATTTAATGAACGACTGACTGGTTGCTTTGTATGAAATAGATCCACTCCGAAAGGTCAGCCATGTATGTAGAGCTAGTCTTTTGTTTTCGTACAAAGTGTTCAGTCATTTTGACCATACGATTTTCGCAAATCACATCAACAGTTGTTTTTAAACTGTGTTGGATATATTTTGTAAGCTGTTTATTTTTTCATTCAAAGTATGGTTGATAATATAATATTTGCATATGGAATTATTGCTTAAAAATAGATCAAAACTGTGTTTTGGACCAGTAAAATTATTTCTAAAACTGTATTTGGAATTGCATCCTTACAGTAACGTTAAATAGTATACACAATGTAATCATACTGCGAACACTGTCTCAGAATGAAATATAATGTAATATGTTCATATATGCATAACGTATTACGGTGTCTCTATTATGTAAAATTGCATTGTGGAATTTGAAGAACTCGAGAGATCTTTCGATCAATCAAGAACATACTTTCCTCAAAAAGGTTGTCTTTATCATTAAATTTGACTTTTCCCTCTTTAAACACTTACATATGTGATGCCAAATTGAAGGAACCCTTTTTAATTATATTATTAGAATTTTTCACTTTTCCACTCTTTTCAACACAATACCTTATACCAAACCGAAGTAACAGTTTTGTTCCCTTATTGTGTAAGCATTCTGTTCGAGGTAAACAAATGGCGATGTAAAGGATTGTTATTAACTATTTTGGAGCATGTTTTGTTGCTGAGGATGAAATTTGAAATGATTGAATTTCCAGTTGATTGTATCTCCATTGAGTACGATGGCAAGAGTTTTCAGCAACGAGACTGTCGTTGATGCAGCAAAATGCTACTGCACAGACTCTAATACCCATCTATACGTCTACTACACATGGGCTATTGAAATTTCGTTGGAAGGAGAAAAAAAACATATTTCTGAACAGACGACTTCAAAAAGTCAACCTATACATAATATTAGCGACACGATGATGTATCCAATACTGTTGTAATTTTATATGTGTATGTTATCATACTATTTAATAACAAACCATCATTTTGTATATACATTTATATATTTTTATATTTATTTTTACCTTCCTCTTATCATTCATGAACTTGGTGTAAATTAATGTAGTGACGCAGATAAATACAAAATGATTTGAGCAATACATGTACGTGTAAAGTATGTGCCTGGTCACAAACACGGATACGTTATAAGAGGGTGTTTAACATTACAGTGATAACACGCAATGGCGACATTAACGTGTAAAACACTTGGATATATTTTATTAACGTGGTAACACACATAGATACGGATGATGACACGAGACTTTGTAACGTGGTAACACACATAGATACGGATGATGACACGAAACTATGTAACGTGGTAACATACATAGATACTGGATGATGACACGGGACTATGTAACGTGGTATACATATAGATACATGATGATGACACGAGACTATGTAACGTGGTAACACACATACATACCTGATGATGACACGAGACTATATAACGTGGTAACACACATAGATACCGGATGATGACACGAGACTTTGTAACGTGGTAACACACATAGATACCAGATGATGACACGAGACTTTGTAACGTGGTAACACACATAGATACCGGACGATGGCACGGGACTATGTAACGTGGTAACACACTTAGATACCGGATGATGACACGGGACTATGTAATGTGCTAACACACATAGATACCGGAAGATGACACACATATATACTTGATGATGACACGGGACTATGTAACGTGGTAACACACATAGATACCCGATAATGACACGACACTATGTAACGTGGTAACACAAATAGATAACGGATGATGACACACATAGATACCGGATGATGACAAATATAGATACCGGATGATGACACACATAGACACCTATACCTGATGATGACACGAGACTATATACCGTGGTAACACACATAGATACCGGATGATGACACGGGACTATGTAATGTGCTAACACACATAGATACCGGAAGATGACACACATATATACTTGATGATGACACGGGACTATGTAACGTGGTAACACATATAGATACCGGATGATGACACGAGACAATGAAACGTGGTAACACACATAGATATCTGATGATGACACGAGACTATGTAACGTGGTAACACACATAGATACCTGATAATGACACGACACTATGTAACGTGGTAACACAAATAGATAACGGATGATGACACACATAGATACCGGATGATGACAAATATAGATACCGGATGATGACACACATAGATATCGGATGATGACACACATATAAATCGGGTGATGACACACATAGATACCGGATGATGACACACATAGATACCGGATGATGACACACATAGATACCGGATGATGACACACATAGATACCGGATGATGACACACATAGATACCGGATGATGACACACATAGATACCGGATGATGACACACATAGATACCGGATGATGACACACATAGATACCGGATGATGACACACATAGATACCGGATGATGACACACATAGATATCGGATGATGACACACATAGATATCGGGTGATGACACACATAGATACCGGATGATAACACACATAGATACCGGATGATGACACACATAGATACCGGATGATGACACACATAGATTCCGGATGATGACACGCATAGATACCGGATGCTGACACACATAGATACCTAATGATGACACGAGACCATGTAACGTGGTAACACACATAGATACCTGATGATGACACGAGACTATGTACAGCTGTAACGTGGTAACACACATAGATACATGATGATGACACGAGACTATGTAACGTGGTAACACACATAGATACGGATGATGACACAAGACTATGTAACGTGGTAACATACATAGATACTGGATGATGACACGGGACTATGTAACGTGGTAACACACATAGATACCGGATGATGACACGGGACTATGTAACGTTATAACACACATAGATACCTGATGATGACACGAGACTATGAAACGTGGTAACACACATAGATACCGGATGATGACACGGGACTGTGAAATGTGCTAACACACATAGATACCGGATGATGACACACATATATACCTGATGATGACACGAGACTATGTAACGTGGTAACACACATAGATATCTTATGATGACACGAGACTATGTAACGTGGTAACACACATAGATACCTGATGATGACACGACACTTTGTAACGTGGTAACACACATATATACCGGATGATGACACACATAGATACCGGATGATGACACACATAGATACAGGATGATGACACACAAAGATACCGGATGATGACACACATAGATACCGGATGATGACACACATAGACACCTGATGATGATACGCGACTATGCAATATCATGATAACACACATAGATCACTTTGGTATCAAAACAATTGACAGGAAGTCAAAAAATAACATTTCTGTTTTCTATGTGCAAGATATACACACAACTGCGTGTTATATGGTGTAACATATATCTTCCATGTTGGAGAATTTTGTTTAAATAATAATTAACTGAAGCCTATCAACCATTGTTTAATATGTTATACTGCTGTTTAAGAAATAACCTGCATGTGTGCATGTATAATGTTGAAATATCGACGAAGGATGAGAACAATAATAAACGTTGGTCTGTCACAAATAAAAAATGTACACCAAATTCATGACGTTTTTTATTCTTTATCCGACTAACATCTCAATAATCGAGTAACGAATTGATGCAGTTTGTATACAATATATAGTTCATTTCATATTTTATTGCTAACACCTGTCCTCATTTACAGGAATGGAAGCAATGCATGATTGTCCAGTATAGTTCCTAATCCTGTTTGTGGGGGCTACTTGTATGTAAACCTGTAAAAGATAATTAAATGTAGTTAGCCATTTTAAGTGTAAACGTGTTTTACAATTTTCTTTTAGGCATCACGCATTATTTCAATAGTGATTCAGATACGTGTTCGATGGGTGATTAATGATTGGTAAGTAATTGAATAGTAATCAATTGAGGAGGGAAATAATACCTTTTTGTAATTTAACTTTTTAAAGAAATATATGCAATGCAATGATTATCATTAACTAATATTTTGTGAAAAATTAAAAAATTGTGCGGGTATAAAACTTTAGTGGGTTAAAATATTTACCATTCTACTTGACTTGGCTGGCTGTCATGATTTTTGCAAATTCTGAAATATAAAAAGGGTAAAATGTAAAAAAAAAAAAAAAAAAAAAAAAAAAAAAAAAAAAAAAAAAAAACAATCAACTCCATGCATGACGAAAATAATAATAATATATACGATATATATTTAACGCCAAATATAACTTACAAAGTCACTCTATAGCGCTTTACGGCACATGAATGGTGTATTCCTACAGGGACAGTCATATACAATTGTATATAGAAGATAAAGAAGGCATCAGTATAATTTCTTCCCATGTTTTGCAGCTTACAAGAATAATATTATGAAAAGATTTAATCAACACAAAGTTACAATGTGTGATATGTTTTAGAATCTTCCCCTACCTTGAGATTGTGGCTGATAAAATCGACCATTCATATATGACGTAGGCAGAAAATTCTCAACTTGAGGGTACGATTTTTTTTAGCTCGAGGCTTATCTCGAGGGTTGATATTTCTCTATCTCTTTTACACAGAACTGATTGGGGTTTTTTAACACATCTTTCTACTGATGTTGAAAGTTTGAGAACAGTGATACCCCACCATTATAAAGGGCGCATAAAGAGTGTGTCAGAAATGATGATGTTACCTTGGTAACGCTGCATAAAATGATGACGAAATGGTAACTGATAGTGCGTGCAAACTGTCAATTCCCTAGATAGATAAAGTTAATAGAATCGTTCCCTACTTTGAGGATGTGACAGTCTGATCGAAGCTGTACGGTTATTTTTCTCCCATTATTCAAATACCATATTAACAACAATAGTTTTCATCTTTTGTAATACATTATCCTGTTTTACACATGGCCTCTCTGCCAATAGCTGTTGATGACGTCTTAAATGATTATTACTATGACATCATACTATTGTTGCATGCAAGTTGTCATATCCCAGTGGGTGACAGAAAAGGCATACCAAGGGGGAGACAGAGCAATCTGGAACAGGTAATCCTTTGACAATGTATCCAAAGGTCGGAGAAAGGATAATAATGTCCTTAGCGAAAACGAGAATGCATCTGTGAAATGTGGGAGAAAGAGAAATCTCCGACCCGAGGGTCTGTGACTACGGGACATGTATCTGACCTTTATATCTACTTACCCTCGTAGTTTATTTGACCATCACCATCAATGTCAGCTTCTCCTAACATTTCGTTCATCTCTTCGTCTGTCAATTTCTCTCCTAAATTTGTCATGACATGTCGCAGCTCTGAGGCTGTTATAAAGCCATTACCATCCCTGTCGAACACCCGAAACGCCTCGTCTAACTCCTCGGGTGTATCAGAGTTCCCTGACCGAGACATCATTACTGATTTGAAATCGGAAAAGTCTATGCCATGACCTGAATAAATTGAATAAACATATTGTTATGATCTCAGCCAGTTTGAACAACACACAAAGCCAAATAAAAATATCAAGAGAATAGCGAAAGTTAGATAAACAAGATAATAAACCATCACGAGTTTGTGGACCTTTTTCTCCCACGACGTTCAGATAGTATGTCTAGCAATCCTTATGCGCTTATGGAAATACATTATTCCTGTTTCCGATGGAGAAACAATTGCCACGAACTATGACGTTACAATGGAAGATGACATCGCAAAGCTTTGTTACTTGACGTCATAAGTAGAAGATTGACAAATGGACTAACGTCGAGGGTGTTACACAATGGTGGGTAACCAAATAATGTTTACCAACTCCTAACAGGTTTATCCAATGAGTTGGGAATAAAAAAAAAACCTATAGTGGTTGTAGGAGAAATACTATTTCAAAGTTCCACACTCACCATCAGGATCTACCTCGTTAGTTATGGCCATAAGCTCCGCCTCTGTTGGGTTTTGACCAACAGATCGCAGTACGGTACCCACTTCTCTAGCGTCGATACAGCCACTTCCATCTTTGTCGAATAACGAAAAGGCTTCTTTTATCTCTGAAACATCAATGTTATTATTCAATGTAGTTACTCTGGGGTTTTTTTTATTCGAGAAAAATATCTAAAATTATTACACCACTAAAATATGTAAACGCTTACAGTAGCCTCATAGTGAATCTACTTCATGTAATTTTGATTTTCTCATACTGCGGTAAAAAATTGAAAGGATATTTGTACATTCCTTGGGAGGCCCCTCTGACCTGCCAACGCACGTACCCATCACCTCAATTTCGATGGTAATCGCATTAAGATAATTTTGTGAAATTTAAAAAAACGACACATTTGATGCAAAGATTTTTTATTATTTGGAATTTCAAGCAATACATTTTCCGATTTATGATGCATTCATTGTAAACTAGATATATTTAAATCCCTTCGGTAACTGTCAACGATAGCGTTAATTGTAAACATTTGGTGGTTTGGGATATTTTTCTTGTCTAAATGTAAAAAATAATAAAAAATGTTACCTGTCAATTGGTCTTCATTTAGCTCCTGTAAAAAAATAGAACATATTTACAACATCAAACATCTAAATAGTACTTATGACAAATATATGGGATATGATTAATACACCAATGATAATATTGTATTTTTATTCCAGTTTTAAGGTAAATTGATCGTTATTACCATAAAGTCAAATTGGTCTCATTTTATGTTTTTTTTTATCATAATTATTACCTGGATTACTGGGTTTTTTTAATCGGTATATGGTTACCCATCGATTATCGGTATATGATTACCGTCGATTATCGATAATTCCAGTAATACCACTTAACATATGGCTAATGAACAATGATAATAATATAAGTAGTCTTTTTTATCTAAAGAGTTATCTCCCGTACTTATAATAAAATGTATGTAAATTTCAAAACACTAGAAATATGTCAAAAACTCATAAAATGTTTCCTTATTCCATCTAGAACTAATGCTTATGTTTGTGCATCCACCAATACACTGATCAACAAACAAATATGATTTCCCAGTGTGGTCTTTCGAATACAAATGTTTAGAAGTGTTTACCGACACGATACCTATAGGTTCTATTGTAAAATTATCATTTGTGATATATTCTACCACTCATTTTATCTTTCAATTTATCACTTACGAAATTATATTTACTATTTTTTTATCTGTTGACATCATCATCGTAGTACAATTTTGTTAAAAGGATTTGAAGATATTCACATGCGACATCGATAAGCCGATCACATTTAACTTATGGGAAAACATTTATCTGTATTATTTAAATTTAATTAAAAAAAAAAATGGTACACAAACAATTTCAGACAAAAATATTATATGACATGTATATCTATATCCTTGAATAATGAGCAGACTCTTACCTGATCCATTGTTCACGTCTTCCGTTTTGACCACGTTGGTTTGATGGTGAATTCAACCTTTGTCAATAACAATACGCCATATATAGGAGGCCCATATGGGGTAATTTAATGCATACTAAAACTTAAAATCTGCCGAACTAATTCCTGTACACAGTGATAACTTTTAACCAGCATTATAATAGATACATATATAAGTAAATGTATTTATTTATTCAATGCCGCAGACAACGACCCCACTTATCGGAATGGAATGGAACGTTTTGTCAATAATAATAAACCACATATAGGGGTCCATATGGGGTAACTCAATATAAACTGAACTATACATTTAACCTATATATCAATCCAATAAATTTCATCATCAGTTGTCTTTAAAAATAAAATAAAAATATCATTTCGGAATTTATATAAATATAACCATAACATCGCTTTATTTCTACAAGTTATTTAAAAATTAATTTAAGAGAAAAAATAAATAATTCTCTGCTAATTTAAATCATTGATAAATATAATTATATTGTTTTAGTATTTCTCAGCTGATAAACGAAATATAACCTTGCGTATACGTAGTGTAAACGTAGTTGACAGTACTACATTTAAATGTGTACGTACATAGTGCAGTCTGTCATTCTAGTTCACTCATAGAGTCGAACTTTGACCTTCCATAGGATTTAATGTGAGACTGATTTTCTGACTAGATTAACCTATTGTTCGTTTGTCCGCATTGCTGGCAAATAGCGGACTCGTCACTTAGTATCTACCAAAACCGGCGCGATCGCCTAGCAACAGACGCATACACGTGTGACATCCTGTGTAGGACTCTACGTGAATATATTGTGTTCGTTGAGATGATGTGATTAAATTCTTAAGAACATACCAATATGAAATATACACAAAATATGTCATTCTCTTATACGACATGATCGCTTTTCGCTAATTTATTTGAAAATGCCACAAATACAGAATATAACAAACGAATTTAAACGAAAATAGTATACTAAACAATTAACATGAAAATCAGTTCTTTTGTAGGCATATGTATATAGACGTTTCCAAGCAAGTCGTAGTTGGTCATTATGTTTATGAAGCTCAAGTTAATTGATATTCTAGTTGTATAAAGACACAAGATTAGTTGATTAATCAATGAATTAACTAATGAGTGTTTGATTAACCTGATACAAACTGAATGTTTAATGAGTTTGAGAGCACTTCGCTTCCGTTCATTTTCATACTATAATCGGAAAAAACATATAGTGTCTTTGAAATAGATGATTCCTCTTTCCGATCCGGGAACAATTATGACTTCACAATGGACCAGGTCCCACTTGTATAAAACATCTCAACTCTTGAGATTTCCTCAAGTCTAAGATTTTCCATAGACAATACATTGCTTGAGATTTTCCTTAACTTGGAGATGTTTTATACAAACGGGCCCAGGACGACACATTATCACATGACGTCATTATTAAATGACTGACCAGTGAATCCACATCCGGGTTCTTTCCCACATCTGGGTAACGTGAAATGTTTACCAGCTCTTTGCGTATTTTGCTTCAGGAGAGCATTAACATATAGTAGTTTAAGGGGGATTAGGAAAATTTTGTGACATGTAACTTGTTTATTTACCACACAACAATGATCTCTGTCAAGGATCACGGTATGTGTGCTAATTAACGCTTAATTATTAAGGATCCCTGTCCCACTACATTGTGTGTTTGCCTACTAATTTCCGTTTGGTTATAACTGTAGCACAGCTGGTGCAAGAGTCTCTGCCGATGAACAGGTAACCCAATCAGTTAGAGCGATGCTGTATTAATCTTAAGTCCAGTGTTAAAACCACAGTCTAGCTCCACTGAATCCTTAGATGCAGAATATTGTTGTTGGTTATATCTCTTCGTTTCATCTTTAATCTTCCTCATAAAAGTTCTACAAGGTATGGTTTTACTTTCAGAAATGATCAATCAAAACTATAATCATACCATTTTCTTTAGAAATAGTACGATGATCCTTTTTTTAGTTGTCATTATAAAATGTTACCAAAGATGTCTAACGTTCATATTGCAAGATACAAGGATGTAGACTCTGCTGATGGATTTTTGAAATTCATAAAATTAAGGCGATTTACCCCTTTTGTTTCAACAGTGGTTTGGACAAATTAAGATTTCCATTGTTCCCTACCATAACCGACAAGTCCCTAGAAGGACGAATCAGTTTGGTGCAGTGTAATACATTAATGCCACCCTGGATATATTACCCTGTATCTATCAACCTGTATCTATGTATCTATCACCCTGTATATATTGCCCTGTATCTATAACCCTGTATATATTACCCAGTATCTATAACCCTGTATATATTACCCTGTATCTATCACCCTGTATATATTACCCTGTATCTATCACACTGTATCTATCACCCTGTATATATCACCCTGTATCTATCACCCTGTATATATCACCCTGTATCTATCACCCTGTATATATTACCAAGTATCTATAACCCTGTATATATTACCCTGTATCTATCACCCTGTATCTATTACCCTGTATATATTACCCTGCATCTATCACCCTGTATCTATCACCCTATATCTATCACACTGTATCTATCACCCTGTATCTATCACCCTGTATCTATCACCTTGTATCTATCACCCAGTATATATTACCCTGTATCTATCACCTTGTATATATCACCCTGTATCTATCACCATGTATCTATCACCCTGTATATATCACCCTGTATCTATCACCCTGTATATATCACCCTGTATCTATCACCCTGTATATATCACCCTGCATATATCACCCTGTATCTATCACACTGTATCTATCACACTGTATCTATTACCCTGTATATATTACCCTGGATCTATTACCCTGTATCTATCACCATGTATCTATCACCATGTATCTATCACCCTGTATCTTTCACCCTGTATCTATCACACTGTATCAATTACCCTGTATCTATCACCCTGTATATATCACTCTGGATCTATCAACATGTATCTATCAACCCGAATCTATATCCCTGTATATATCACCTTGTATATATCACCCTGTATCTATTATCCTATATCTATTACCTTGTATATATCACCCTGTATCTATCACCCTGTATCTATCACCCTGTATATATCACCCTGTATCTATTACCCTGTATGTATTACCCTGTATCTATGACCCTGTATATATCACCCTTTATCTATGACCCTGTATATATTACCCTGTATCTATCACCATGTACCTATCACCTTGTATCTATTACCGTGTATATATCACCCTGTATCTATCACCCTTTATCTATCATCCTGTATCTATCACCCTTCATCTATCACCTTTTATCTATCACCCTGTATCTATTACCCTGTATCTATCACCCTGTATCTATCACCCTGTATATATCACCCTGTATCTATTACCCTGTATATATCACCCTGTATCTATTACCTTGTATATATCACCCTGTATCTATTACCCTTAATCTATCACCCTGTATCTATCACCCTTAATATATCACCCTGTATCTATTACCCTGTAACTATCACCATGTATCTATTACCCTGTAACTATCACCCTGTATCTATCACCCTGTATCTTTCACCCTGTATCTATCACCCTGTATATATCACCCTGTATCTATTACCCTGTATATATTACCCTTAATCTATCACCCTGTATCTATCACCCTTAATCTATCACCCTGTATCTATTACCCTGTAACTATCACCATGTATCTATTACCCTGTAACTATCACCCTGTATCTATTACCCTGTATCTATCACCCTGTATCTATTACCATCTGTCTTACGTTCATCATTCATATTGTTTAGATTCCAATGCCCTATACTGCTGAAACAATGTGTTTTTGCCCCTTAAGCTTTATTACCTGTTTCGATGTACTTATTTTCCGTCGGGTATTAATATATATTAATGGATTTGGTTTTAATCGTATTAATGTCTGATGTAAGATGACTGCATGAACTATTTTTATTGCCACACAAAGTTACTAAAAGTGTGACATTCTTTAAACTTGTCAATCAGTCAATGACGGATTCCTATAAAGCAACTGAAGTGCCCATGGTATTCCGGTTTATGAATTTTTGTACACATTTTTTTTAACGGGCGCATAACCTTGAATCAAAGGCTCCAATAACTTGTATAATAACAAAACCGTCGTAGTTTATCTCTTACAGTAACAAAACTTTGGCTCTCATACAAATCTCTTAAATACAGAAATATCTTTTTAATATTTCTAGCTATTACTTAACATTACAAGTCGGTTGAGTCTGCTGCTGGACTATCAGTACCTGCGGATGAGCTGATATCTTGTAACTAGAATTTATTCCGGCAATGTGGGCGTTAAATACTAATTAGATATAAATGATATGTTTAATCAAAAGAGTTTTATAGGTACCCTTTGTCGTTTTTCTGTGATATTTTTTTCAGACATATTGATACACCGATTGGTATTACTACTCCCGAAGGGTAAGCGTCTTCTGCGTCATCAATGACACCCGCCATGTAAATCTATTTCGAAACCAAGTAATGTCACGTCCTCACAGCGAGAACTGGGGTAGTGACAACAAAACCACAAGGTACTCTAATGAGCATCATCAAAAACATCGACCTTCATATCACAGAGAGAAATACCATATTTCGAATATTATATGCCTTAAACGTGTACAATGAACATGTACCTTGAAAACAAAAGTGTCAGATATCATATCACAGAGTGAAATACTATATTTCGAATATTATATGCCTTAAACGTGTACAATGAACATGGACCTTGAAAACAAAAGTGTCAGATATCATATCACAGAGAGAAATACCATATTTCGAATATTATATGCCTTAAACGTGTACAATGAACATGTACCTTGAAAACCAAAGTGTCAGATATCATATCACAGAGAGAAATACCATTTTTCGAATAGTATATGCCTTAAACGTGTACAATGAACATGTACCTTGAAAACAAAAGTGTCAGATATCATATACCATATTTCGAATAGTATATGCCTTAAACGTGTACAATGAACATGTACCTTGAAAACAAAAGTGTCAGATATCATATCACAGCGAGAAATAGCATATTTCTCTATCAATTTAGCTGTCAGTATTTCTTATTAATTGGATAATGAAATAGCATAACCAACTCAAGAAAGTGCTTTCGTCTGTTTATTGACTTATAAACATATTATGAATCCTTGTCCGTAGTTAGTAAACAAGATAGCGACTCTCCTTCGACACATCCACACATAAGCAAACCTTCTTTCCAGCAATATAGCACTATATAGTTTATTTATTATACTTAATTAACAATTAATATTAATTACATAATTTACTTCCGAGTAATATACACGAAATTCATTTCATCATAGTGTCCGTTTGCTTGCTTGCTCAAATGCTCAGAACAGTGCATGAATCATGGAGTTGATTAATGGTTATTTGCACAATGTCTTCCGAAGTTTGTAAGCAGTCTTATAAATGTAGCCACATCCATATATCTTGTTCTTGTTCTAGTACTCTGCAAAACAGACAATAAAAAGATATATATCAGCCATTAAACTATAAAATGAATGACAAATAAGGATATAATAATAATTGTTTAGTATACAATATTCATATAATGCGCAAAACTGACTATGTTATGCATTGAAAAATATAGCTTCAACATCGAGTTTTCGTTGTCGGTCATGTTTATCTAAAAACAACTGGAACATGTTCTGCTCAGTAGTTATTGTTTATGCAACAAATAAGTAACAGAAAAAAAACTGTGTTTAAATACTGTTCAAGGTCTTGCTGTAAAGTGTCTGATTTACTTACCTAATACATGTACAGTTGCGGCATTTTAATCCGACCATCTCTACTTCATGGACATCATAGTAACAAACGCTGAAAATAGTGATAGATGACAAAAATCATAAAATGACATGTAACTGTTACAAAAATAAATATGTGGCAAGCATATCCAACATGCAACTAGTAGCTTATATGTTGCTTGTGTCTCCTCTACCTTGTTAATCAATAACTATACATAAACGTGCATCTGATATATATATGTTATTATCACTTGATGTCATCACTATCTGTGTTGTGTTGTTATCCTGTCAATATAAATAAACAGTTCCCCTTATGAACCTCTAAAGAGGTGAAAGCGCTAGGGAGAACCTCTTTGTATTATATATATATATATATATATATTTATATTTAATTCCAACACAAGGACTTCTCCATGTTTTCTTTATATATATATACATTTTACGATGACAAGGACTTTGAATGTTTTTCTGATATATTATTTCTATATAGATTTGTAACATGCATTTCTTACTCTCCCTATGTACATATAAGGCATCATTCGTTTGTAACTAGATTCTTAAGCATGTCAAACTTGACAACCTTTATATACAAAACACAAAACTTTGATCAGTAGCTATCATTATATACCTATCATACATTTTGGTCAGGTTTAACGTAGAGATTGGTTGATTATATAATAGTTGATACATCACTGTTACCTTCATAGTTAATGTGGCCATTTCCATCGAGGTCGGCTTCTCTTATCATCTCGTCCACCTCGTCATCGGTCAGTTTGTCACCAATGCTTGTCATCATATTACGAAATTCTGCAGCATTAAGGAACCCTGTCCCTTCCGTGTCGAAAGTACGAAAATATTCTTTCATTTCTTCTTCGTCCTCCTCGGGATCCTCCAATTTTTTGGCCATCATTACTAGAAAACTGGGGAAATCGACCAACCCAGTACCTATAAAACACCAAAGCCGTAGGGATTTACGGGACTTCTGCTAAATAACTAAGTAGAATGTGCACAAACTGAACAGATGTGTTATTAAATCCTGAATATAAAAAACTCCAACATCTTAGTTCTTAGTAGGAACAGTGCTTATGTAGATAATTTGGCCATTTTCATTTCCATCAGATGTGGTTAGATTGCAAGGTAGTCTTATGTTCAAAACAATTGCTTATAGAAAAAGTCATCATCTCTTTGAATACATTGGTTTGATAGTTGGACAAGTGGGTTATTGGAGACTGGAAAGTAAGACACTTGGATTAGTGGAGGTGTTGCAGCGGGACAATATGATTAGTGGAGGCTTGAATGTGGGACAACACAGTTATTCGAGGGCTAATAGCGGGCCAAAAGGATTCGCGGTTGCCTGTAAATGGGCCATCAGGATTGACGAAGACTGGGAAGTGAGACAAAACGTTAAGTGGAGGCTGAATATTGGAACAACCGGGTTAGCGGAGGCTGGATAGTGGGAAAACCAGGTAAGCGAAGGCTGGATAGTGGGATAACCGGGTTATGATAGTGAGATTCAGATAACGGGTAAGCGGAGGCTGGGCAGAGAGGCAATCGAGTTAGCGGAGTCTTTATAGTGAGACAACCGGGCTAGCGGGGTCTGGATAGAGGGCCAACCGAGTAAGCGAGGATTGGATAGTGAGACAAACAGGCTAGCGGAGGCTGGATAGTGGGATAACCGGGTTAGCGTATGCTGGATAGTGAGATAACCGAGTTAGCGGAGGCTGGATAGAGGGACAAATGAGTTAGCGGAGACAAACAGGCTTGCGGAGGCTGGATAGTGGGATAACACGGTTAGCGTATGCTGCATAGTGAGATAACCGAGTAAGCGGAGGCTGGATAGAGGGACAACTGAGTTAGCGGAGAAAAACAGGCTAGCGGAGGCTGGGTAGTGGGATAACCGGGTTAGCGGAGGCTGAATAGAGGGACAAATGAGTTAACGGAGACAAACAGGCTAGCGGAGGCTGGATAGTGGGATAACCGAGTTAGCGGAGGCTGGATAGAGGGGCAAATGAGTTAGCGGAGACAAACAGGCTTGCGGAGGCTGGATAGTGGGATAACTGGGTTAGCGTATGCTGGATATTGAGATAACCGAGTTAGCGGAGGCTGGATAGAGAGACATCTGAGTTAGCGGAGACAAACAGGCTAGCGGAGGCTGGATAGTGGGATAACTGGGTTAGCGTATGCTGGATATTGAGATAACCGAGTTAGCGGAGGCTGGATAGAGGGACAGCTGAGTTAGCGGAGACGGCTGGATAGTGGGATAACTGGGTTAGCGATAACTGGGTTAGCGTATGCTGGATATTGAGATAACCGAGTTAGCGGAGGCTGGATAGAGGGTCAAATGAGTTAGCGGAGACAAACAGGCTAGTGGAGGCTGGATAGTGGGGACACTGAGTTAGCGGAGGCTGGATAGAGGGACAAATGAGTTAGCGGAGACAAACAGGCTAGTGGAGGCTGGATAGTGGGACAACTGAGTTAGCGGAGGCTGGATAGAGGGACAACTGAGTTAGCGGAGGCCAGATAGTGAGATTACAGGGAACATGGGTGTAACGATTAAATATGTTTAGCTATATATTTCACTAACCATCTCTATCTGCCGCTGCCACCCATTCTGTGAGCTGAGATTGTGTTGGGTTGTATCCTAGTGATCTCATTACGGTCCCACAGTCCTTAGCTGGTATTGCACTGTCACCGGCATCAAAGACTACAAATGCTTCTTTAAACTCTACAAGTGTATTACAAAGGTATAAACAGATATATCATCTGGACATCTAAATTACAGTATATTTTCAAACTTTCAAAATTGATAACTCGTCTTCCTCTACGATAAATGGTTACTAGAAAATGATCTAAATTTGTTTATTGGCATATTTGACAATCGAAGCCGTAGCTACTTCGTCCATTAGCATATGATTTTGCTAAATATATACTATGTTTACGTTGCATAATATATTTATCAATTATGGACTTGAGTCGAGGTCGATACGTTGTTATATAGACCTAAAAGAATGATATATATTACTCTCTCAGGCCCATATTACAAAAAAAGACCGAGATGAAAGTCTTTAATTTTCATATAACATATACCTGTAATGTTTTTAGTTAACATGAGATTAGATATCCTAATAGTGAGAATCGTGACAAGGTGTGTGTGTGTGCAAGGCAAACATAGAAACATGGGGTCGATATGCTACATATCGATGATCCTGCGACCAAAGAGAGGCCAATTTAGAATCAAGGAACGAAACCACAGTTACAAACATACACTTTTACCTTGGACAGGCACTACCATTCTGTTCTTCTGTGTCGTAATATACATGTATATGTGGTATTATATTTATTCTTCTGTGTCGTTATATACATGTATATGTAGTATTATATTTATTCTTCTGTGTCGTTATAAACATGTATATGTAGTATTATATTTATTCTTCTGTGTCGTTATATACATGTATATGTAGTATTATATTTATTCTTCTGTGTCGTTATATACATGTATATGTAGTATTATATTTATTCTTCTGTGTCGTTATATACATGTATATGTAGTATTATATTTATTCTTCTGTGTCGTTATATACATGTATATGTAGTATTATATTTATTCTTCTGTGTCGTTATATACATGTATATGTAGTATTATATTTATTCTTCTGTGTCGTTATATACATGTATATGTAGTATTATATTTATTCTTCTGTGTCGTTATATACATGTATATGTAGTATTATATTTATTCTTCTGTGTCGTTATATACATGTATATGTAGTATTATATTTATTCTTCTGTGTCGTTATATACATGTATATGTAGTATTATATTTATTCTTCTGTGTCGTTATATACATGTATATGTAGTATTATATTTATTCTTCTGTGTCGTTATATACATGTATATGTAGTATTATATTTATTCTTCTGTGTCGTTATATACATGTATATGTAGTATTATATTTATTCTTCTGTGTCGTTATATACATGTATATGTAGTATTATATTTATTCTTCTGTGTCGTTATATACATGTATATGTAGTATTATATTTATTCTTCTGTGTCGTTATATACATGTATATGTAGTATTATATTTATTCTTCTGTGTCGTTATATACATGTATATGTAGTATTATATTTATTCTTCTGTGTCGTTATATACATGTATATGTAGTATTATATTTATTCTTCTGTGTCGTTATATACATGTATATGTAGTATTATATTTATTCTTCTGTGTCGTTATATACATGTATATGTAGTATTATATTTATTCTTCTGTGTCGTTATATACATGTATATGTAGTATTATATTTATTCTTCTGTGTCGTTATATACATGTATATGTAGTATTATATTTATTCTTCTGTGTCGTTATATACATGTATATGTAGTATTATATTTATTCTTCTGTGTCGTTATATACATGTATATGTAGTATTATATTTATTCTTCTGTGTCGTTATATACATGTATATGTAGTATTATATTTATTCTTCTGTGTCGTTATATACATGTATATGTAGTATTATATTTATTCTTCTGTGTCGTTATATACATGTATATGTAGTATTATATTTATTCTTCTGTGTCGTTATATACATGTATATGTAGTATTATATTTATTCTTCTGTGTCGTTATATACATGTATATGTAGTATTATATTTATTCTTCTGTGTCGTTATATACATGTATATGTAGTATTATATTTATTCTTCTGTGTCGTTATATACATGTATATGTAGTATTATATTTATTCTTCTGTGTCGTTATATACATGTATATGTAGTATTATATTTATTCTTCTGTGTCGTTATATACATGTATATGTAGTATTATATTTATTCTTCTGTGTCGTTATATACATGTATATGTAGTATTATATTTATTCTTCTGTGTCGTTATATACATGTATATGTAGTATTATATTTATTCTTCTGTGTCGTTATATACATGTATATGTAGTATTATATTTATTCTTCTGTGTCGTTATATACATGTATATGTAGTATTATATTTATTCTTCTGTGTCGTTATATACATGTATATGTAGTATTATATTTATTCTTCTGTGTCGTTATATACATGTATATGTAGTATTATATTTATTCTTCTGTGTCGTTATATACATGTATATGTAGTATTATATTTATTCTTCTGTGTCGTTATATACATGTATATGTAGTATTATATTTATTCTTCTGTGTCGTTATATACATGTATATGTAGTATTATATTTATTCTTCTGTGTCGTTATATACATGTATATGTAGTATTATATTTATTCTTCTGTGTCGTTATATACATGTATATGTAGTATTATATTTATTCTTCTGTGTCGTTATATACATGTATATGTAGTATTATATTTATTCTTCTGTGTCGTTATATACATGTATATGTAGTATTATATTTATTCTTCTGTGTCGTTATATACATGTATATGTAGTATTATATTTATTCTTCTGTGTCGTTATATACATGTATATGTAGTATTATATTTATTCTTCTGTGTCGTTATATACATGTATATGTAGTATTATATTTATTCTTCTGTGTCGTTATATACATGTATATGTAGTATTATATTTATTCTTCTGTGTCGTTATATACATGTATATGTAGTATTATATTTATTCTTCTGTGTCGTTATATACATGTATATGTAGTATTATATTTATTCTTCTGTGTCGTTATATACATGTATATGTAGTATTATATTTATTCTTCTGTGTCGTTATATACATGTATATGTAGTATTATATTTATTCTTCTGTGTCGTTATATACATGTATATGTAGTATTATATTTATTCTTCTGTGTCGTTATATACATGTATATGTAGTATTATATTTATTCTTCTGTGTCGTTATATACATGTATATGTAGTATTATATTTATTCTTCTGTGTCGTTATATACATGTATATGTAGTATTATATTTATTCTTCTGTGTCGTTATATACATGTATATGTAGTATTATATTTATTCTTCTGTGTCGTTATATACATGTATATGTAGTATTATATTTATTCTTCTGTGTCGTTATATACATGTATATGTAGTATTATATTTATTCTTCTGTGTCGTTATATACATGTATATGTAGTATTATATTTATTCTTCTGTGTCGTTATATACATGTATATGTAGTATTATATTTATTCTTCTGTGTCGTTATATACATGTATATGTAGTATTATATTTATTCTTCTGTGTCGTTATATACATGTATATGTAGTATTATATTTATTCTTCTGTGTCGTTATATACATGTATATGTAGTATTATATTTATTCTTCTGTGTCGTTATATACATGTATATGTAGTATTATATTTATTCTTCTGTGTCGTTATATACATGTATATGTAGTATTATATTTATTCTTCTGTGTCGTTATATACATGTATATGTAGTATTATATTTATTCTTCTGTGTCGTTATATACATGTATATGTAGTATTATATTTATTCTTCTGTGTCGTTATATACATGTATATGTAGTATTATATTTATTCTTCTGTGTCGTTATATACATGTATATGTAGTATTATATTTATTCTTCTGTGTCGTTATATACATGTATATGTAGTATTATATTTATTCTTCTGTGTCGTTATATACATGTATATGTAGTATTATATTTATTCTTCTGTGTCGTTATATACATGTATATGTAGTATTATATTTATTCTTCTGTGTCGTTATATACATGTATATGTAGTATTATATTTATTCTTCTGTGTCGTTATATACATGTATATGTAGTATTATATTTATTCTTCTGTGTCGTTATATACATGTATATGTAGTATTATATTTATTCTTCTGTGTCGTTATATACATGTATATGTAGTATTATATTTATTCTTCTGTGTCGTTATATACATGTATATGTAGTATTATATTTATTCTTCTGTGTCGTTATATACATGTATATGTAGTATTATATTTATTCTTCTGTGTCGTTATATACATGTATATGTAGTATTATATTTATTCTTCTGTGTCGTTATATACATGTATATGTAGTATTATATTTATTCTTCTGTGTCGTTATATACATGTATATGTAGTATTATATTTATTCTTCTGTGTCGTTATATACATGTATATGTAGTATTATATTTATTCTTCTGTGTCGTTATATACATGTATATGTAGTATTATATTTATTCTTCTGTGTCGTTATATACATGTATATGTAGTATTATATTTATTCTTCTGTGTCGTTATATACATGTATATGTAGTATTATATTTATTCTTCTGTGTCGTTATATACATGTATATGTAGTATTATATTTATTCTTCTGTGTCGTTATATACATGTATATGTAGTATTATATTTATTCTTCTGTGTCGTTATATACATGTATATGTAGTATTATATTTATTCTTCTGTGTCGTTATATACATGTATATGTGGTATTATATTTATTCTTCTGTGTCATAATATACATGTATATGTAGTATTATATTTATTCTTCTGTATCGTTATAAACATGTATATGTAGTATTATATTTACTCTTCCTTCACAACATATTAATATACCTAAGGCTAGGAACTAAGTAGCACACAAACGACTCTGTGACATATTTCACCTACGTACCATTTATCTGCTCCTCTGTTAGATGTTCCACCTGTAATCAGTAAAGAAGCATAGGTAAATTCACTCTAATACACACAAATACAATGCTATTTCTCAATTCGACAAGTTGTACTTAAAGGTAGGCATTTGAAGCGAGGATTGCAAAATTTAATATGTGAACAATGTACAAAGAGTGATTAGAATCAGATTGAATCAATATCAATTTGAAGAAATTTGCCGTCTGTTTGTGTCAAACTATTAATTGTACTTAACTTAAGTGCAAAATATATCAAACATATTACGTGTAGTATAAACAATTAGTCACCAAAAATATTTAAAGCAAACGTTTTGTATATATGAATCCCTGGATATCAAAACTGCTTTAAATAACATCAATAACAACAGAAATACACATGAACCTATCATTTTCAACGTGCTGGAAAATGTATTCAACATTATAACATCTTTATCAAACTAAGGAAATATCTCATACCATGTTCAGCTGTGTGAGGATTCCTCTTCATTCACGTGGTAGGATCATGCGTTTGTCGAAGGGTAATGGCGGTTGTGTTTATATTTATAAAACAAAGGGTGTTTAAATCACTGTGTGGAATGCGTCTTTGGACGAGTGCTGGAGTGTAACGGGGTATCAAGTCTGGGGGTAGTTATTGTCAATTATCCGTCCATTTAAGTTTACAGATCTTGTTGAATAGTGGATAATCAAATAAATGTTGTGTGTATTTCCAAAAGCTCCGATTCCTGAATGAGCCCAATGTAGTATTTATTCGCTTCGTAATAGAACATTAATTCTAGCAATATCTTCGACAGTGAGTCATGTTTACCTTATAGCGTGCTCCATAAGGAAGGTATGCATGATATGTTTACCTATCCTCGAGCTATTACTCTATAAACAGGAATGAAAGTTCACTTCTTTAAATATTATACTAATTAACGTCTAAATCTAATTAAAAGAAAAAGAAAAACTGACCCAACCTACCCGGTTTTTAATTTATTGTATATATAAGACAATCAATGACGAACTATTCTATTCTAATCAAAATCCGAGTTGATAATTTAAAATTCAATTTGAAATAAACGTGTTTAAATCTTTTTTTTCAATCTTCAATTTTTCCCATGAACGTCGGTTATTGATTTGGAGTACATGTATCTATGATCGAATTTGTGACTGTGTTGTGTCTTAAACGGTCAAATTTAACATTGTTCCTCCTGATTATGAATTCCGTGGTATACCCTGTTGTGAATTGTATAAATGTACTCCAGCGCAGTGCGTACGGCTATCTGTTCTGGTGGTATCTCAAAACACTGTAGGTAAATCACGTGTTTGTACGACGTACTTTTCACATTTGTAACAATGGCACCATTTGTGTAAATGTCGACTCAATATGGGGTCGTTTTAGAATAAACTTTGTAATGTCGATACCATATGGGCGGATTGGTTGAGTGGTTAATACTCCTGCCTTCCACGCAGGCGGCCGGGGTTCGATCCTTGAAGTCGTCGTACGCATGGATATTCAGAGAAGGTGTTTTTTCCTGCCCACACAACTGCAACAACCAAGGTGGAGTAAACATTGGTCTGGGGTGGATGTTGAGGTATCTGTGCTGTAGCATTCAAGTGAGGTGGCACTATACTTGATGCCGTTGGAAGCGCGGTCCCGCTACGAACAGAACACATTATATCTCCAGCACACACGCAAGCATACATACATAGGGAGATATTAGCCAGGTGGCATAGGACTAGTAGTTTGCGCATGATAAGGCAGCTCCTGTGATTTTCTCAAAAATTGTATTGATTAATGTATATGCTTATTGTATTAATTCTAAATCTATGTACTGTAAAGCGCTTTAGAGTGGCTTTTGTTAGCTTGATAGGGCGCTACATCAAATGTTGAATATTATTATTATCATTATATGGAGTATTTAAAGACGAAATCGGAAGAATTAATAAAAGATTGCCTGTGGTACATGTAACCAATGCCTACGAGATAAATTCGTTTATCAGTAGGTATATCACACATACCTACACAATGCCTGACCCTTTCCCCCCACCTCTTAACCGGAAACTTTGTAAAACACGGCATACCAAATGAGTCTCGGGGGAGGGGGAGGGGGGACTTAAGTTGACAAACATCCGGCAAGCATCGTGTTGGATAACATTTGTACTCCAAGGGATTAAGTATTTGATAAATCGTGCATGCGTAGAGGTATTAAGTGGTGACATATTAACTTTACTCTATCATAGGTATTGAAGATAAAGAGAATACCAAAGTTTCAGCAAAACCATAATTCGAACTCAAAATCGATAAAACTAGGGCAAAATATGCCTTATGTGATGCAAACGCATAATGAAAAAAGGCCAGTTGTTCCTGAAGGGTAAGCGTCTTCTGCTTCACCTGTTATGTAAATCTGGGTCAAAACAGGTAACGTCATGTCCACGAATCATCACAAGGCGCACTTATTAACATAATCGAAAACATCGATCTTCATACAAATGGAATGGTATGTTTCCCTGCAGACCCTGAGAGCGACCAAAACTTTATTCAATCTGCATCTCGTGTGTCCGTCAAACAAACAATGGTTGGGGAACATTTAAAAAAAAAAAAAAAAAAATGTGTATATTGATAATTGGTATTTTGCGAGTATAAAAAAACCCTTCATTTTTGTACTGACATGAATTTGAGGATCCCAATACCAAACAATGTGTATATGCTTTGCTTACTGTTTGATCCTTCGTTAGTATAGCTTTGATTAATCATTTCTTAGAAAGAAAATAAAGATGACGGGACATATTTTTGAAAAATAATTATTCAGCTGTGCTAGACCGCGGGATTTAATCTCCGGATCTCAGACTGTTATACTATTTTTCTAGCCGACTGAGTTACTTGGTCATAGGAAGTGTCCTGGTATAATTGTGTTACAGTTGAATCCAAAACGAAATTAAGGGGAGAACGTCGTATGTACGAGTTAAGTGGGACAGCATTCTTAAATCACCGGTTGATGAAAATGAATTTTCGTATATTGCTAGCAGGGCATTGGAAAAGGGAACCTTAAGAGAATTCCTATGGTTGCCTGAAGTCTTAAGGGCATCTCTCTAATCGTTCAGGAAATTTCTGAAATAATTTAAGACATCTTTTTATTCGCGATGGAAATGTTTAGCCATTATTGACACTTTTTAGGACGTTTCTCTAATTGTTAACGACATTTCTGTAATAGTTAAGGATATCTCTCAAGTATTTTAGGACACATCTGTGATTTTTCAGGACATCACTGTAGTCCTTGAACATCTTTGAAGTCATTAAGTACATGTCTGAAGTTGTTTTTAAGACATAAATGTGATCGGTTAGATCATGTATGAAGTTGTTTTTAAGACATAAATGTGATCGGTTAAATCATGTATGAAGTTGTAATAAATGTGATCGGTTAGATCATGTATGAAGTTGTTTTTTAGACATAAATGTGATCGGTTAGATCATGTATGAAATTGTTTTTAAGACATAAATGTGATCGATTAGATCATGTATGAAGTTGTTTTTAAGACATAAATGTGATCGGTTAAATCATGTATGAAGTTGTAATAAATGTGATCGGTTAGATCATGTATGAAGTTGTATTTAAGACATAAATGTGATCGGTTAGATCATGTATGAAATTGTTTTTAAGACATAAATGTGATCGATTAGATCATGTATGAAGTTGTTTATAAGACATAAATGTGATCGGTTAGATCATGTATGAAATTGTTTTTAAGACATAAATGTGATCGATTAGATCATGTATGAAGTTGTTTATAAGACATAAATGTGATCGGTTAGATCATGTATGAAATTGTTTTTAAGAGATAAATGTGATCAGTTAGATCATGTATGAAGTTGTTTGTAAGACATAAATGTGATCGGTTAGATCATGTATGAAATTGTTTTTAAGAGATAAATGTGATCAGTTAGATCATGTATGAAGTTGTTTGTAAGACATAAATGTGATCGGTTAGATCATGTATGAAATTGTTTTTAAGACATAAATGTGATCGATTAGATCATGTATGAAGTTGTTTTTAAGACATAAATGTTATCAGTTAGATCATGTATGAAGTTGTGTTTAAGACATAAATGTGATCAGTTAGATCATGTCTGAAGTTGTTTTTAAGACATAAATGTGATCGGTTAAATCATGTATGAAGTTGTAATAAATGTGATCGGTTAGATCATGTATGAAGTTGTATTTAAGACATAAATGTGATCGGTTACATCATGTATGAAGTTGTTTTTAAGACATAAATGTTATCAGTTAGATCATGTATGAAGTTGTTTTTAAGACATAAATGTTATCAGTTAGATCATGTATGAAGTTGTGTTTAAGACATAAATGTGATCAGTTAGATCATGTCTGAAGTTGTTTTTAAGACATAAATGTGATCGGTTAAATCATGTATGAAGTTGTAATAAATGTGATCGGTTAGATCATGTATGAAGTTGTTTTTTAGACATAAATGTGATCGGTTAGATCATGTATGAAGTTGTTTTTAAGACATAAATTTGATCGGTTAGATCATGTATGAAGTTGTCATAAATGTGATCGGTTAGATCATGTATGAAGTTGTTTTTAAGTCATAAATGTGATCGGTTAGATCATGTATGAAGATGTTCTTAAGACATAAATGTGATCAGTTAGATCATGTATAAAGTTGTTTTTAAGACATAAATGTGATCAGTTAGATCATGTATGAAATTGTTTTTTAAGACATAAATGTGATCGGTTAGATCATGTATGAAGTTGTTTATCACTAGCTGAGGTCGTTAAGGACATCTCTGATGTAGTTTATGATATCTCGTCAGTCGTTTATGATTTCTTTGATATAGTTTAAGATATCTCCTAAATTGTTAAAGACATGTGTTGTGTAGTTCAAAACATCTCGCTTTTAGGACATACAAATGTAAGGGGCCGCGGTGGTTGAGGCGTCTGACATTATGCTACCACTAGCCCTCCACCACTGGGTCTCAGGTTCGAGGCCTACATGGAGCAGTCGCCAGGTACTGGCCGTAGTTTAGTTCGGTTGTTTTTTTCTCCAGGAACTCCGGCTTTACTCCACAACCAAAACCTGTCACGTCCTTAAATGAACATAGCTGTTAATAGGACGTAAACACAAACAAACCAAACCAAACATTTAGGACATCTTGCAAATCGTTAAGGACGTCTAGATGTAGAAGACTTGTGCATGTATCAATTCATCCGGTACTTTTTGCATGGTTGTATTTATATATCTATTGTCAAATATCTCAAAATAATATATGTTCTCTAACTTTGTGTATCAGAAATCATAATATTCTTCGGTTATTTAATGGCTTATATACTTCTTTTTTATTATAATATACATTGTGCTTTACTTCATAGAAACAACTATGATCAATCAAGAACGTACCGATTTTTGGTAGTAGTGGAAAACCGGAGTACCCGTATATAAATCAATGACCTGCTACCATTACCTGGCAACTAGCCGACGTTGGCCTCGAACCCGCCAAACAGTGGTATCGATAGAAGGCTAGTAATAGCAGACGGTCAGACACCTCAACTACTCGGCTCCCATAGCTTGACCGATTTAAACGTAAAGTAAAAGCTAATATTAAATCAAACGAAAACAGAATGACAGGCAGTAATCATTTATTTGTTTATGTACAAAATCATATTATGTTAATGATATTGAGTATTATACCGATAATGCTTCATCCAAATATTTCTATTACTAGTGCCACATTTTCCGTTGTAGTTGTAACGTTTTCGAATTGGTTGTAACACTCATCACACGTATACAATTGTATCAAATATTCGGTTGAATATCTTGACCGCCACAATCCATAATGTTTCTGATCCATTGTGTCAGTTGGTAGATGTGTAATATTTCAAATTAAAATATAACGTGGGTGTTCCCAAAATGCATCGCTGCCCAAAACGCAACGGTACCTAAAATGCAACACTTTTCAAATATATGCTGCAACATCTTTAGTTTGCAATATTAATTAATGTTATCTATTCTAAATGAAAATCGTCTAAAAAATAGTTTTTTGGCAATTGGAGTTAATTCTGTCTACCTACCTTTTGTATTTTGATCTCAGATGAAAAACAATTAAAAATGAAATGAAAAAATAATATCAAGGAAGTTGTACGATGCGACAATATTGATAGCCTATCACAATTCTAAACACTGATAAGTATTTTTTTCAAATGAAAATTTTATGGATAAATGATTGAAAGTTATCAGAGAGAGTTATAACTTGATGAAAAAGAAACGCTTTATGCTGTCAGTAAACAAAGTCATAGGAGGAGGTGTTTCATTTTCAGTTCCATACAAGCTGAAAGTTTTAAGTGAACCTGACTCATTTTTAAGCTCTATAAATAGACACGCGTGCTTGTGATAGTTCAGAAATACACAAAATGAAAGGTAAATGCATCTGGTGTTTCCTTATAGTGACTGATTTAGTTTTCAGGAAACTAAATCAATATATTTTAAAAGACATATATTTAAAGAGTTTTCCATTTTTGGGCACTCTAACGTTATTGGCAAAGCAGTAATAGTGATATTATTTTTGTCCTAAAGCAATGGTATCTGTCACTTTCAGGCACAAACATTAAGAAACCAAGCACAACAATGTAAAACGATAGAAATATTAAAAAGTAACATATCTTAACACGAATTTCCATGGTTTTCTTCTCTTCTGTTGGTGAGCCCTATCAACACGCTTGACTTCCCTGCATTTCGACTGTGTTCAATCACGACAGTTTTCCGATACTTCCAGACTCGATCGAGCTATATTTATTACTCTTTCAGCATGTATCCCCTTCTTATATAGTTATTTTTTTATTGGTTGAGTTAAGGTAGTTAACGTTCCCCTGTCCTGTCGCGTTGTCAAGTAATTTTGTTCTTCGGTTTTTTTCTTCTTCTTAAGAAGTTACATTAAATACCATCTCACAGAGATATACTATCCTAAGATGGATTTTGTGATGTGTAGTTTTTGGCTTGAAACCCGACCGTTGGAATAACTACCAACACTTGTGCTTTAATCAAAGGCAATCATTAAATCATTGTTCTTTGTCATATTTTCTAGTGTGATGCATTTAATTAATGTATGTGTATTTGAAAGAAAAGAGCGGATAGTCTCAACAGATGTTTTTTAAAAATAATGCCAGTGACATTCATATAAAAGAAATATCTTTTCAATTATGACATCATTTTGACGAATTCTAAAAAAGAAAAGAAAAGAAATATTAATGAATAATCAAGTGATCAACCGAAAGATATAGAACATATTTTGATGACATTGTACACATTTCTTTTTCACAAATGAGTTGTCAACTGTCAAACTTAAATCATCGCTTGCAGCAATGCTTTGACATTGCAATTAAAACCGAATCATTATACTTAATTTAACACTCTTCTTGCAAAGATCGAGATGTGGCCTTATTGGCACGAATTCTGAGAGAGTATACGAGCCTGTAAAAAGATCCGGCTCAACTAGATTGTACACGCGTCTATTGCCAGTACGGGGTATTTAAAATTTGATTGATCAACATGAATAAATCATTGCACCTTTCATGAAAATACTTGCGTTAATGTAAATTAAAAATCACACATATTTTATGCTAAAGAAGCTTACTTTTCTAATTTTGGAATTGAATTATAAGAATATAACTAGAAAATAAAAACGTCTATTGATGAATAGACAGAAAACTGAGGTGCATTCTTACATTAACTGCAGTTTATACAGAGTGCACTTTGGTCTCTACATCGATAGAGCAGTATATTTTATTTTCAAAAACTTACATTTTTATTATTTAACCCAATAATTCGAAAAATTAAATATAAATACCATTATAATCAATTGATCCGTCACCATTTAAATCGGCTTCACGTATCATTTCCATCGCCTCCTCATCAGTCAGTTTCTCACCGATGTTCTTCATGACGTCCTTCAGTTCGTTTACATCGATAAACCCACTGCCATCCTTGTCGAACATTTTGAAGGCCTCGAGTAAATCGTCGTCTTTATTTTTGTCTCCTTGTTTCATCATCATATCACAGAACTCTTTAAATTCTATCACCCCACTTTCTAGGAAAAATAAGAAACAGCATCAAGATTATTGAGAACCGCTTGCTCATGTCTACAAGTGATATGTGTATTGTCTGTTTGATGAAAGAAATTAATCTATAAAAAAGTATCCTGCTATATTAGCATGTTATTATAAAAGCTGTCGTAATCGTGTCATTTTTGTAGTTCTTTTAGTTAAAGCAAGGTTCACAAAACATAAAGCTATAGACACTTTCTTTTTTAAACAGAAATATAAACAACAATAATGACATGCATGGTCTGTAATCTCAGAAAGACAGGTAGACCTTTCGTTAAATTGTAAATTAGAATAGTATACAAAAGGATTTATTCAAACAGTTGAAAACCTATCCGGTAAATTATATACATATATAAATTCTCCAAGATGTTATCATAATTTATGGCTTCCTCGAAATCATACGTTCTGTAAAAGATGTTTTTTTTTATGGGGTTTAACGTCCTCGCAACAGCAAGAGTCACATGAGGACGGTTGCAAAGGTAGACACCACCAGAAGTAGAAAGTAAACTGTAAAGAAGGAAAACAGGAAAGTTAGTAAACGAAACGAAAAAATACCCAAAGTGTTGCAAGGGGAGCAGCAGATCAATTGTGGTCTCTGCCATATCCTGTTGAAGTAGCTAAGAGGAGAAACACCTTTTTTGAAGGAGTAGCACATTGGTCGCCTTTAAACATGCACGTGCAGTGGGATACAGCAGGTATAGTATTTGTTTCTACAATGTCCCCTTAACAGAAGAAGAAACCAACCCCGATTCTGCAGGGGCTGCATTAGTCGCCTCTTGCGATCATGCAGTGGTCTACAGCAGGCCAATTCTTTCTCAGAACCTGCATATTGTGAAAGTATACAGAGCCTAAAATATAGAAGAAGATTATGATATAATATAGTTGCACTATTATTCCTTCCTACTACAAACTTAAAGTTTCCTAGCATTACAGCGTTATCATATACTTACCATCCGTATCGACCTCCTTAATCATTGAACGTATATCTTCCTCGGACGGGTTCGAACCTAGCCCCTGCATGATTAACCTCAGCTCGCTGCATGAGATGGAACCGTCACCATTTTTATCGAACATGTTGAAAGACTCTCGGTACTCGTCTTCTGTCAATAGTCCAAATAAAAGAGAACTTAAATGACATCCAAAATTTTACCCGACATCCGGCGTCAAACTAGTTATAACAGTAGACAGTTATTCTTTTAAAATTAAACATGTTTATAATATATGCATTATTTGTGATAAGTACCGTTTCACTAATGTGTTACTGCTAGCTGTACATTGCCGGCATCCCAGCCGGGTTTATATATACCCTCAAATCTCGGTAATTTTGCTGATTGAAAATAGGCAGGCATTTAAATTCCCGGAATCCTTAATTTCTTGGATTCCTTACACTTAAACATATCTCGACAATAGGCCATCTTTGAGGATAGGTCAGTCTTTTCTTGCCGGTCTTAACAAGCTTAACAGATAACTGTCACTTTGGATCGTTTTAAAGCAAATTTGTTAAAATAGAAAAACAAACAATTTTATTTTCGATAAAAGGACTGCATAACATGTTCCCATGCGAAAAATCTTGAACATTAGCCATAGAAGGCTGATTAAATGATTTCAAATAATATACTACAGCTTATTACCGACATATTAGGGTACATGTGTATCGGCACACGCCATATCTGTTCTGCTTCTTATAAGTACATTTGTATTTTCACTTAATGTGTTGATCATGAATGGCAACTAAGAGAAACTGAAATTGACAAAGACTCTAGTGTATATCGAGAAAATTTCGCCCAGTCAAACTTTCACCCACCGCCAGAATACAAATTTATTTCATATTCGCTCAAAGTTTATTTCACCCTTTCCATTTAACAACTATGCTTGTTATGTTATTTACTAATGTTAGATGTAATCATGAATGCGCCGTCATAACAGCGGTCGAAATAGGCGAAAAATAAACTGTAGCGAAAATTTCACGATATACAGTATATTTTGACATCACCGTATCCTATTCCATAACGACTGTCAGCCGGTATCAGCCAACACACCACCGCTGTCTTGGCCTGCTATGGTGATATTCGTGTTTATATCGTGTAGTCTATGCTAATGGTCTTATATTAATTCTTCAATATAACTGTGATATGTAATGTTAAAAATGATGATAAAAATACCTTTAGCCTTAGTGAGTACTGGCTTTTCGGTGCTCACTTGTCCTTGTTCCTCAGCCTGTTCAAAAATAATTTATAGAATGCGCAAATGATAAAATTAAAATTATATTTTTACATTTCTTCTTAACTTGTATTTAGTATACATACCAAAGAATAAGAAAGTTATTTTTACATAACCTTTCTAGTTGGCGTATTAATACGTAAGCAAATAAGTGCGGGAAGTAGTCTCGTTTATAGAATTATTTTCAAATACTTTTTCTTCAGAAGTTTCAGATAGTATAAACATGCATTTCTTTGTTAAATAGTTTCCGCCTTTGTCTTGATTATAATCTATTACACAATTATGACTAATTGCACAGCCGATATCAAGGCCTCCTTTAATCTGTAATAAAACAATCTTTTAAAGTTTTAAAGTGTTTGTAATAAACATTAAGAAAATGAATGAATAAATCGAATCGTCGGCGAAATCCGTAATTGAATAAAGGTAAAGTTAAAAAGGAAAGTGCAAAAACACATGTAGGTAAGTCACACAAGGACAGGAAAAGGTCCTGACATGATGAAACGAAAAACAATAAAATGCACCAGATCATAGGTTAAGGGACTCTTGAGAACTAACGAAACTATTTTCTCAATTCGGTAAACAAGGATCTTGTGCTTAACACACAAACAATAGGGTTTATACAAATAGGGGACTAAGAAGCAGTCATGCTTAAAATTAAAACGGAGAGCTTGTTAACAGGTGAATAAACAATAGCCTACCCTGATTCCTTTTTAAAATAAAGAAGCAAAATACAGATATTGAATGAAGTGGCTATCACTTAGTGTATTTATATTTTTGAATACTTTCAAGCAAGGTTCTGAACCATAGACATACTTGTAAACAATACTCATAGGAATGACAGACATATCAAAACTAGCCGTAATAATGCTGTGAAATATCTCTTGAAAATTCCGTGCCTAGATTTTTCTTCAATATATCTAGAAAAATAGCAAGTATACAAGGTAGGACCGAAAGTATAATATCAAACTAATGCCGGATAGAGGAGTTTATGTTGTTTTGTTTTTATACCGTTGCATCAAACACTGAAACATTAATACTTCAATTATTTATAAGGTGATGATCTAATGAGTATGTCATCCATTTAGTTCTAAAGATATACGTACCATGATCGCAGCGTCGAGTTTGTCCTTTCCTGAGTGTAAACTGTTGTTTCTATAAACAGGTCTTCGATTCAAACGTGTCATCTACTAAGACTACCTTACTTGAGTACTTAAGGACGGATAAATCCATTGTCTGTTTCCTGTATAAATATTTCCTTTATCTAATGAGCCACTTTGTTCTGGTATTGAGCTGTGTATACATTAAATGCAGCAGATACCACACCAAATTTGATATCAACTTTGGTCTAAGGTATATAGTCTAGATCCCTTTTAATTATCGACGTTTCTTGTAAAACAAATAAAAGCATATTTGTGGCCTTAAATTCATGAATAAGATAATTAACAAACCGCTTGAAGATCAAGATCGAGATAATAATTAGTTAAATCACCTTGCCCCTAACAACACAAATACATGCCTTCGTCATTCACATACCAGTTAAATTGTCTTGATATCACGAATATAAATGGTACATCTAGACACTGTGTGATGTTTAACGGAGAGATCGAAATACCGAAGATGCTTATTTACATTTGAACATATCAATTATTACACATTTTACGCTTGGTAAGAAGCTGTCCATGCTTTCGCAGGAATGTCTCTTTATCACATGGTTTCCAATTGTCAAACAATTGAAATACCTATGTATTTTGTAGAATCAGTACGACACATAACTTACGCTAGTTTTATAATGGCTGGTTAGCTTGACGAGGTAATAACGCAAATTTCAGAATATTTTTTCTGCTGTTGTCGGAAAAAAATAAATTTACAAATGACTTTTTGTCTTCTTCTTCTTACGATCTAACGATCCTTTTTATCCCTGTAAACTCAGGTTTAGATTTTCATTTCAATATTTTGCGTCAAGTTGTCAAGCTAATCCCGTTGTGATAAAAAAACAAACTAGTGTGTGATGAGCATTGTAAGCTTAACGAGACGTTACTTTAACTTTTCAATCTCATAAATTTACCTTAATATTGCAAGATATATTAAGAACTGTATATGTCAGAATTTGAAATATTCATCTTAAGGCGATAAAAAAAAACCACTTATCCAATTTTTGACCGTTAACGAATCTCCGTATTACTTTTGAGTTAACGGCATGTTAGGTTAAATCGCTCCTAACTGCTGGAATGAGATTGCAATTAAACACTAATTTAAATGTATTGACCTTTGTTTTGTATGCAGATGGTATCGAGCTAGTTATATTATTGTCGATGTTATTTTGTCCTTCACAAGTCTTGAAAAATATATCAATAACAATATATCCATATATTTATCAGTATTTGCCATTGTATATCAATTATTAAATAAATTACTTAACAATGCATTGGAAAACGAATCCATGTGTTATTTCAAAATTGCCACAAATTATATTTTGTGCCCTTCTTTTTATGAAGATGACCAGGCATAACTGGTGAATGTAAAATGCATGAATTTATATTGTTATCAGATAAAATAGCGTCCGCACAAACGTATGTATATAGATGAAAGCTACGTGGAATACAGTAGTAATTTAACTCATTCACCTCTGAAATTTCATAATGAACTATTCAAACCTTTGAAATGGAAGAGTCTAAATGTGTCTTCAGGGGTAGATGAGTTAAGCAACGGGTACACGACACAAAATCAAAGGCCTAGAATGAGGGAATCAAGTAAAATGCCCTCTATCACATATATAAGGTTTGGATAAATAAAGGATATTTAATGGTGTCCTGTTGAATATAATATATTTATCACGAGTATTTTTGACGAATGAAAATATCGATCTATTATGCTATACGAGTGAAATATATATGAAATTAAACGAAAAAAAACCTTTTAAATATTCTTTTTACAACACATTTTAACATAAAACGACGCAAATGTTGCTGCACCAAAAAAGTGCAGGAATCGGTAATGTAATGTTTGCACCGGGTTCTAATAACGTCACGCTTGACAACAATGCCGTGTGCCATTTTGAATGAGAAACTTATAGCACTTCTATACGTATTCTTCTATTTTCTGGATGCTATCAAGTACTGAAGTACGTTAATAACTTAATGTATGTCCCAAAGTTGTATAAAAGCAATCACTTATTCTACTGTCGCTTCATCTGAAGCTGAACAGAAAATCTGCGGCAGAAAATAGAAAATATCATTTTGATTGGTCAATATAAAATCGTTACTGGATCTTTTATCATCACATTTGAAGATAGAACATTTCGTATATCTTCACTGCTGCACTGAAGATTACATAACATTTTAACACACTGATACCTTTGGATATTTTACAGGTAAAAATATAATAAATATATTTAGCACATTAGGTAAAAAACGGATGTGACATTAAAATCACGGCGAAATTAATTGATTAGTATCAAAGGAACGAAACCAATTTACCTTGCACAATAGCAGTATTTTTTATTATAAATAATATCTATTTGAAAGTTATTTTTGATATAGTTGCAGATTGTTTTGGAAACCAGTTTTTCTAATATCTTTTTTAACTCCTTCTGTGACAGGTCTTATTCTAAGTTTAATGTGAAGGTGGTATTTCTGCGACAAACAAACAATAACTCATCTTACATTCTTATTATTTTTGCAATGTCAAATAAAGTGTGGAGCAAACGTAAAAATACCCGATTTGCATAAGTTGATCCGTCTAAATTCATGGTTTTAACAAAGACATTGTTAATATTGTTTACAATATGCTTTTCGTTGTTTAAATGTTACTTTGATACCGTGATATTATCTATAGTATCATTGTGACGTCATTATGACATCATTACCTTATGACATCTTTGGTTTGTCTATAGTATAGTTGTGACGTCATTGTGGTACCACTATGACATCATTAACATGTGACACCTTTATATTGTCTATAGTATTATTGTGACGTCATTGTGAGATCATTATGACATCATAAACTTGTGACATCTTTAGATTGTCTATAGTATAATTGTGACGTCATTGTGACATCATTATGACATCATAAACTTGTGACACCTTTATATTGTCTTTAGTCTTGTTGTGACGTAATTGTAACATCATTATGACATCATTAACTTGTGACACATTTATATTGTCTATAGTATTATTGTGACGTCAGTGTAACCTTATTCATGTTTTGCACGTGACAGTTGTCTTCTGTATCATTCTGTCATCATCGCTACAAACTCTGCAAATTGAAAACAAATTAACATATAATTACAAAATTTCAATACGTATTTTATATAAATACAAATATCTATCTTTTTTTTATCAAATTCATATTCATTTCAGACTGTAGTTAGGCCATATACCAAGGTGAAACATTCCTTAATAAACTGCGAAATATGCATTATATAAATCACTGGACTTTTGTGACTTACAAAACAGTGCAAGCGTTACGAGAAGCTAAACGGTCAATAAGGGTAAGATAAAATGTAGATATCAATTATTCTCCCACATGGAAGATTAATAGAATCTATCGCTACTGGTTGTGTAAGATAGAGAAATCTCAACCCGAGGACTACATTTTTTTGTCCAAAACGGGGCTTGCCGAGTTCTGGACAAAAAATCGTAGTCCGAGGGTTGAGATTTCTCTATCTTCCACAACCAGTAGCGATTGATTATTTTTCTCCCATATCTAACAGTATTTTAATGTGAAATAAAGGTAAACATGGCCCAAAAACACATACAGGCAATTTGTTGATGGGTTGTTGACGTGACGTAATTGTATTGTTGAAGTGACGTCATGCCATTGTTATGAATATGGGAATCCCCCCGTCTCAACCCTAGGGCGGCGACAGATAAATCTAGCACCGGCAAAACGGGAGATAAATCTGTCAGGTGTGGGAGAAACAAGTTTCCTATGTGGAATACCGATGCAGGATAACTCTGTTTCTATATACTACCTTTTACCACATACGAGTAACATGTAATTTTACTTTCACGGGTGGTCATAATGAGAATACCCGAGAAGATGAAAACAACCTAAAATGGCTCGAAAATTGCTTTTTGTCATTTGGGAATATTTGTTTAAGAATTTCTGTTCATACCATGTTACGTCATGAGCCGGAAACAGCATATAATCAAAGATGTTTCGCTTAAGAAAGTAGTCCATCAAAGATAAATCATTGAAATAATTATGAAATAATTTATTGTGAGGATAACAACACCATATCGCGCGTAAACGTGCATATGAATATATCAATGACAGGAAAAATGTTTTAAAGAATACTTTTCTACATTTTTGTTAAGGTTCATTGTATTACTACGCGCAACATCTGTATTTGTTTACATTTGTCACAGAACGGGGAGCTCAATTATCATTAGGTCTAGAGGATGGCTGGCTGATACGGTATATGGATTTATATTCAATTGAGAAAATAACTTTTATGGACTATTTTTTTCTGACAACAAACGCTGAAAACATGGAGTTATACTATATAAATCCCAGTAAAAATTGACTTAGTAGTACATAAAGTCAAAAATTTTAGTTGAAAATTGTTAGTACCATTTTGCTGACGTTCTGAAAGGCGACGTCATTTCGATGTGATACATGACGTTAATAAACGACTTTTTGTGAAGCGGAAGAATATCTACCGCAATAGTACACTCGGCATCTGACATCTCCCCAAGGAAATAAACAATTCTTAAACTAGTTTCACCTGAAGCTTTACCAAATCATTTTAATTTGAAAGTCTACATTTAGTATACCGTACCTGCTTATTCCAATCATGTTTGTGGTTAATGTTGCGTAGGGAAATTCTACCCTTGTGTGTACAATAACATTTAAAAGACTCTTTCAAACCAGCCAGAATAAACGTAAGCAACTTATCGGTATCTAAATCATATTATAATTACAAGTTATCACACTGTGTTGTCAGGGTTATCGTGAAAACAATTCCTTATCGTGATCACGTGGATAAAATCGAGAGGTCACATGGTGCAGTGGCCTCTCGTATTTTATCCACGTGCTCGCGATGATATTTTTTTCACGAATAACCCTGAAGACATTGTGTGATTAACTATTCATAACCTATACTCTTCTACCTCAATTTTTTCTACATTCATAAAAAACTAACCAAATACCATACCTGACTTGAAGGCTCAATGATCATCGAGATCCTTGGTTTTTGACAAACGTAAACAAATTGAATATTTCCGCGAAGGAAGATTATGAACCTTAAAGATTTTAGAATGATATTTTTGGAACAGTATTATCGTCATTGTCTTCTCCATTCACACATTTACGTTTAAAATGCTGTTGTTATCATCACACAAAAAAGATCACACCTTTATAATGGTTTGTAATGATATATTCCCAAATGGAAAAAAATATATTCTCAAGCTTTTCTTAAGTTGTTCTCAAGTCCTTCTCAACTGCTTTAGTATTCTCATACTGACAACCCATGATAATGCATTATTATGCTACCGGTAATTGGTATAAAGTGGAAAATAGATGAAATATAGATGAATCTGTAGCATATGATATCGTACAAAATATATCACACTTAAGCTAAGAGCACTCAAACATTATCATTATGAGTTATTGACAAACCTCAATGCCTGACAAGAGTAATACCAAGTTCATTGATCATCACAAACATAACCAGTCGTTGACTGATCTTAAAGCATTTTTAATTAATTTATTTTTGTGTGTGATAATTTCAGTACGTACCTTCAAAATCAATAAGTCCGTCACCATTTGTATCTATTACTTTCATTAGGTCATCTATGTCCCCTTCTTCCTTCAATATGGCTTTCAATTCTTCTTTGTCTAAAAAACCGTTGCCGTCTTTATCAAATGTTTTGAATGCTTGTACTAGAGAGTCATGCTCATCTACCGTGTTCATGCGGTCGGTCATAAACTTGACGAATTCCTCAAAATCGATTTTACCGCTTTCTGTAGGAATACAAAAAACGAAACAATATTTTGTGGAATTGATAAACTGCAAAAGTGGAAATTTTCGTTGCGTGGAAATTGTTTGCGTTGTTTTTCATGAGTAAATGAGCACAAACATATCAAGACTGAAATACCTATTCAGAGAATATATCTATAAATATACGCAGAACATGTAAATGAAGAATTGTGTTTTTAAGGAACCTTGTCCCACTGAAGTGTATGTTTCCTATGTACAGTAACCTCCCCTTAACCCCCGTTTGGAAGTAACTGTAGAACTATAAGGCTAGGACACCTCTGTTTGCCAGGTAGCTCCGTTGGTTAGATCGATAGTATAACAATATGAAGTCATGAGTTAGCATCCTGCTCGAGCTTCACAGAATTTTTACTCTCAAATCACTGTAATTGATTATATTGTGTTGAATCCTTCTTTAGTAGTACTCAAAATAAGTAAGTAAGATATGGTTTTCTTTTCCGAAAGATTTATCTGTATGTAACATTTATATATAGCTTTTGGCAGTGGTACGGGGATTCTTTAAAGGTTTCCTCCAAAATTGTCAGTCAAATCATTTTCGAGTCACTCGCCTCAAACCAGCAAAACTGGTCAGCGTGTTTTGTACATTATCTATTTATTTAGATTAATCTGTATTGAATATTGATAACTTTAACATAGCCACACCTAAAAGAGTTTGGTATGAAGACTTTTACAAAAAATAATTTGACAGATAACGATTTTATGTAACGAGTAGGGGTATGATACAGTACTTCATAGAGGATACCTGTAACACCTGATTCGAACCATGGTCCTCTGATTGTTATACTGTCGCTTAATCCATCTGCGCAACATGGTGAACGTTAGAATCCCGAACAAGTATAACTACAGCAATAACCACAACAACGTTAAAGGAAAATGTTTATATAAAGAACATCTATAGTGGAATTTCCCAACGTTTTGTCTGCAGTGGTATTTTGATCCTATAGATGTATGATGTAACATATGGACATGTAACTATGATCTGAAAAGACATTTAATAACTTCTGGATAGAAAATATACATGAAACTTAGTTATACTGCCACCATTTGTCCAGAGAAATTGTGACGTTATAAAGGGGTTTGGCGGTAAATTGAGGGATTTTAAAAACATATCAGAAAAAGAGACATTGAAATATGTTCGCAATGAACGAGTTGGCAAATAAAAAAGGGGGGGGGGGGCATTATATCGAGGTTTTACTGTAAAGTAATGGTATAACAAATACAAACATGACAAGTTCGAGTCAACCATTGTGCTTTCCATCAGTATCCGTCTATTATTATACTTGTACCATCAGTATGAGTCTTCTATTATACTCTTACCATCAGTATCCTTCTTTTATTATACAATTATCATCAGTATCCATCTGTTATTATACTCTTACCATCAGTATCCTTCTTTTATTATACAATTATCATCAGTATCTATCTGTTATTATACTCTTACCATCAGTGCCCGTTTCTTTTATTATACACTTACGATCAGTATCCGTTTCTTTAATTACACTCTTACCATCAGTCTCCGTTTCTTTTATTATACACGTACCATTAGTAACCGTTTCTTTAATTATATTCTTACCATCAGTATCCGTTTCTTTTATAATTGCTTTAACTTCCTCTTCCGTTGGATTCATGTTCATTAAACGCATGGCAGTAGTCAGTTCGTCAACAGATATAGTGTTGTCTCCATCTCTATCGAAGTGCTTGAAAGTTTTCTTTAGCTCTATGGTATAAATAACAGACTTATGTATTAAACGTAAACGTACATAACAGTACAAATTGTAGCCTTATCTTAGCGCATTTTGCGTTTTACATATTGCGCTTACTTATTATAGCGAGAATAATTCAATAATACGCAAAAAATAGAGTGCGCTTTTAAGGTTTAAGTGCGATAAAATAGGTCCGTTTATAGTATGTGTTTACCTGCACGTAAAAAACCTTACACACACGTAATCATAGTTAAACATAATAAAGTGCTCGAGTAAAGTTAAACTATGGTTGCTGTAAGTGAGATGAGTGAGTGAATGAAGGAACGAACGAACGAACGGACGAACGAACTAATGAATGAATGAAGACACACCTTACAATGTACCTTGGCCATACTCGAATATAGATATAACTGGAAAATAATAGCAAAGTACATTCTCGGATTCAAGGGATAAAGCTTACAAACGCTCTCTGCACTCGTGGAACGTTAATTTAATTCATATCTTCGATACAAAAGACAATACTTTTAAAATTCCTATCATTGAAAAAAAGCAAAAGTGAAAGATTAAATTTGAAATTTCACTTCAACCTCATGCACAATAAAAAATCGACCTAAATAATAATCAAATGTGAAACTACATCAATAGTAGTAAGGTTATGTGAAAAAAAGCGTTTTATTACATACATGATAATGTATCTTACCATCCATTTTCTCTTTAGAGATTTCAGCATCTTTTTGTTGCTCAGCCTGAAACAAAGGATTGGAGAGAAGGGAAGTAAGCCAGCTAGATACAATATCAAGGGAGGAAGTTCATGAAAAGAAAATAACACTTCTTCACAAAATATACATTATACATTAATGAGTTGTGGGTTCATGGGTAAGCATAACCATACACTATTTTTAGTATGTCTTTTCTCTCGCACATACATACTATTTAAATATATCTCTTACCTTTAGCCCATTTCCTATTGCAGACATGTTATCTCACTTGTACACTATCAAAACCCTATCTCACTTGGCCCATTGTTGACATCGGATATCATTTATATACATAGCAATAACGGCTAGTCAATTATCATCCACTGAAGACACTAACGCATTATAACTCTCACAATGTCTTCCTACATGCCAATGGCTGCTTACTCTGCAATATATTACGACATTGATGTAATCATATGTTGTACGAAATGCATGAGTTTCCCAGTAGTACTGAGAATGAAGGCAACATTTGTCAATCATTTATTTTCAAAATATACCATTTATATGCGTAAACAATGAAAACAATAAATCATGTGTTTACATTTGCACATTGTCATTAATATCGTTAAAGTATGATTTCATTATGACGAATACCTGTATACATGTATATTTCTTTTAACCTTCGATCGTGTGTAGCAACAAGTGTTTCTATTATAAGGTTAGTGTTTTTTAAATGCTGGTAAACAATTATTTTAAATGACATTAATACGGTATTGTCGTAAACTAAATAAATAATGTATATAAATAAACAATGAAAATGGAACTAATACATGATGTTCCCAATTTGCAATATTTCATTATAGTAAAAATCATTATTGAACGAATACCTTAATACTTGGTTATTATATAGGTCACAGTATTCGGTAGGTAGCGGTAAATAATTTTTCAAATGTACAATACTGTAAAAGTTGAACTATTTATTAATAAAAACGAAAGAGAAACTAATAAATGATGTATATCCATTTGAAATAGTTCATGAAAGTAAAGTTTCATAATTAAACGAATACATTAATACTGGATTATTACACAGGTCTTGTGTAGTTACAACGGTAAAATTGTAATTTTTGCAAAGGCACAATACGGTGATAGTTGAATTATTTATCTATACAAATGAAAAAGGGAACTGATAAATGAAGTGTCTCCATTTGCAATATTTATTTGAAGTAAGGTTTCATTGTTAAACGAATACATTGATACTTGATTATTATAATGGTAGTAAGTGGTAAATTAAGGCACAATACGTTGATAGTTTAATTGTTTATGTATGAAACATGCATTTCTATTAGCTTTCGATGAAACTTACCATAATGTTGATTGCTGAAAATAAATCCTCCTTGAGCGTTGGATGTGATAGTCTGTCTTTGGTAAATAGATCAGTACATACACGCTTAACACAGATATGTAGACAAGCTAAGCCACAATGATATATAGGCACTTCACAAAGTTTATTATTCCTGCAGCCATGTTATATGTATTATCAATAGACTATATACATACTGAGAAAATATCATATATCTATCAAATAAAATATTATTTAATCTAAAATTATTTATTAATAACATTTAAAAGGTTGGAATATCTTTGATATTATTGAACGATATACATTTTTCATTAGTATATGAATGCTTACATGTACATATATTTTATTGTATGTATAGCATTACTTATCAACTCCTAGTACTTTAACGAGGTCATGTAGGCCATACAATACAATATGTCCATTGAGTTGTGAAAATAACTCCTCACGCGTTTCACTCACCTAATAATTTTATCTATTAACACAATGAGTAGCTAGCTGTACTGTCGGGAGATATCTATTCTATTTAATATATTAAAACATATGATTTAGTGTCATGACCTGTAAAGGGTAGCCAGTGTTAACCACCAGTACACTGATGATAGCATGGGTGTATTACCAAAGGTCGGTGAGAAACAATGCATTGTAAGTTAAGTCTAACAACTAGACCGCGGAGGAAGTTATACCTTTGAAACTTTAACATGAAAACAAAAATGGATTTTATTGCATATACCTGTACAAATGAAGTTTAAAAAATCAAAGAAGATGAATGGATTGTATATATATTTAAGATTTAAATAAGTTATTTGAACTAATTCATATCAGTGATGACGCAAACGTAACGACTAAAACTATAGACACTAGATACGTTTCGCTTCTATGATATACAAGATCCTTTGGAAGTGTTTTCATTAACATAGATATGAAATGGACAAAGTCGGGTCATATTATAATCCCCATAAAATGATTTTTGTTGTTTTCAATAATTATCTGTTCATGATGTGAACTCAAAATGTAAGAAGCAGTTTTTATGTTACAAATGTATGTTTTTCTCATGCTTATAATTATCAATTATAGACGATTGTTGAGGTAATCATGTGGTTATGTGAATCTGAGAAAGTGATATTGACCGAGACGATACCGAAATTAAAGTCTTTAATTGTTATATTAGATGCTAATTAATGTTTTATAACTAAACATGGTGGAGCGTATGAAAAATTGTACGAAGGAAAGTTCTGCATTTGACAGGGAACATTGTGACGTTACAATTGAAATGACGTCATAAATAAAATGAATAATGACCCGCTGTTTCTAAGATAAGTTGTATCGAGTCAATATGATAAGTTATCGGCTTCCACGTGATTTTAATATAACAAATGAGGATGTAGGGAAAATGTGTGTCAACTGATATAATAATGTGTTGAACTTAAGTAGCTCGTCGATGTCCGTTATTCCAGCCTCAAGTTCATCTGTTCTACTTTCCAATCAATGTTTCAGAGAACCTGACCTAAATAACCAGCTGTCTCTGTAACGAGTCTCTGTACATTGACATTAAAGACACATTGACTTAAGTGACTCTTATTTAGTTCTGATACTTACATTTACAAATGTAAATTATTGGTGTTTGTTTCCATACAGAATACAAAAAACAAAAATTATTTTCTTTGTTCATGTACTTTCTATATATTATTTCTTTTGTTGGTATTTATTATTTATTGATTTATTTTGATTATAATTATTTTGATCTAGATAGAATAAATTATAAGCATTAAAACAAAATGATTACATTTCTCAGCAGGTTATATTTACATTTCAACAACAAATTCCTCTATGAAGCTCCTTCTCCCGCCTCGATTAAGATCCGATACATTTTTTAAACATCTTTCAATGTTCATGCTGGTATGAACGCAGATCGGCTACATGCAAATTTACCATGAAGCTCAAGTGTGCGTCATGGAATATGTGTTAAACCGGTTTGCATTCATACCAGTATGAAATTGAAAAAAAATCACGTTCAATCCTTATCTGACAAGCCGCTTTATCTTCATATAGATTTTAAATGCTGTTCTCTACTAATAAAGTTTTGCTAACAAAGATAAATTATGTTTTCTGTAGAAGAATTGTGTACACTTAATTAAACATGAGAGCAGTTGATTGTGCAAAAAAGTGTTCTGCAGTACCAAAAAAAAAAACATTTGAAGGAGCTAAGTATAATGTTAGTGCTCGAGTTGCTAAGACATCATGTTAGCCATTCATTTTAATTCACAGCGCGTTTTATCTAAATTTCTAATTATCTGTTATGTAGACACAAAGGATAGAAGGATAGTTATATCAGATGTAAGTAAAATGTCATTGTCACTTTTCCCTATATTTATCAGAATAATCAAACTCAAAGGCCTTTATCCTTCATGTATAAAAAATAACGTTCAATCCTTATCTGACAAGCCGCTTTATCTTCATATAGATTTTAAATGCTGTACTCTACAAATAAAGTTTTGCTAACAAAGATAAATCATGTTTTCTGTAGAAGAATTGTGTACACTTAATTAAACATGAGAGCAGTTGATTGTGCAAAAAAGTGTTCTGCAGTACCAAAAAAAAAAACATTTGAAGGAGCTAAGTATAATGTTAGTGCTCGAGTTGCTAAGACATCATGTAAGCCATTCATTTTAATTCACAGCGCGTTTTATCTAAATTTCTAATTATCTGTTATGTAGACACATAGGATAGAAGGATAGTTATATCAGATGTAAGTAAAATGTCATTGTCACTTTTCCCTATATTTATCAGAATAATCAAACTCAAAGGCCTGTATCCCTCAAGTATAAAAATAACATTGGCGAAATATATTTAACGAAGAAAAGCACATTTCAGCAAAACAATAGATCGTGGTGATAAATCTTAGGAAATTTTAACAACCTTAAGTTTGAAGTTAAACAGTTCCTAACCCCTGCAACCTACAGGCCAAATATCATTACATTAATTAAGCGTTACATTTCATGATGAATTGTTGGTGCCGTTTTGTTGGATATTTGACCTCTGTGTTAAAGGTTAGTCATTGACATATATTCAAAAAAAAATGTGAGTTTTGATTTCTTCATAATGATATATGTATTTAGAAGCCACAGTTCTTTAGAAGAAATCGTTTGAATGTTTTTTTAAAGTTTTGATACTTGGTAGCTTGAGATTAGGCCGAGGTTGATTATAATGATAAAATCTGATAACTCTTTAGTATAGCTTGCTGCAAAGGAATAGATTCGAACGATCAAGTGTCTAGAAGCGCCTCGCAAAAGGCGAGTTAAAAATAAAAATACTATTCAAAATATGAACAATGTTTTATTATTCCAGATAAATATTATCTTTCGTTGCTTACGTTCACCTCTATCTTAGTATACATATATATTTATTCACAAAGTTGAATTGTTGCATAATATAACAGTGTTTATTTAACATGGGGAAATCTGGACTTTATATACGCAAACAACAGTACAACAACAGGATAATATGTACAATATTTAAAATACATAAAAAGGATAAGTTTAAACAAACATGTGAATGGTATTTAGATGCTATGTTTTCATCCAGAATATATACTCAGCAAAAGAAGGGTCAATACTGTCTCAAGCAGATTTTCCTTTAATCAGAGAAAATAAAACGGTGTTTTGTAGTTTAAAGATTTGGGAGTGTATTACCTTCAAAGTGACACCCTATTAGATTAAATAATTTAAGTGTGAACGTCTACAATGGCTAAAAAAACTCCTCGTGCGTTTTTGCAAATAACTCGCGAATCACAATGATGGCTCAATACGACAACATAATCATTCTGATCACCAATAAGTATTTTCATTATGCCACGGCTGTCAAAAATTCAGAATTGCACTACAGTTTGGTTGAGGTGCAAACAAAGTAAACTTTTATCTAACCATCGTGACCAAATTTGTTGGACGACCGACCGTCTGCGAAGCAACATACCCTGTAAAACGACCACTCAGGAAGACCACCGGACACGACTATTGCAGCTATGAATTGTTCCTTCGAGTGAAACCACGAGGACATGCCCTAGTCGGTCTGTATCTGTCTAAACGTCCCGAAACCCCTTGAAATTAGCACGATGTACAAAGCGCGGCACCATTACACAGGGTCCATCATGACAAAACGTGACCGTAACAACCGTTATAGTTGGACCCGCCGCTGGGTGTTACGCCAATGGAGCAATGCTATTTTTACGGATTAATCCAGACTCTGAATTTTGTCAAATGGCGACTAGAAGCGTACAGACTGGAAGCGTCGGGAAGAACACGTTGCTTACTGCTTCATCGATGAACTGAACGGTTTCGGTGGCGGTAGTGCGATGATTTGGGGTGGTATGTATGGACGCAGACGTACCAGGTCTGTTGTAGTGCCAGGAAATGTGAATGTGGTACGTTATTGAGGCGACAATTCCAGAGACCAGTTATTCTCCTATTTTTAAAATGTCATGGCGCTGGCGCTATATTTCAGTGCATCCCAGCCGCGTCAGCAGGACTTTTTTCGCAACAAAACATATTACCGATATATCACGTTTGGGATATTTGTTGGCGACGCGATAGGAACCGTTGAACCCAGTCGTCTAACTTGCATGCTGGAATCCAAGCGTGGACAGATGAATGGGACAGCATTCCCGCTCACCTTATCCGTCAGTTTAAATGCGACGATTTTGCAACGGTGGCCAGACTCTGTACTCTACATGTGACTTAGGGAGCGAAACTTACCATACGTTATCGTCTAATGAATCAAATTTTGTGCGGCCTCTTTTCTAGCTATATTCCAAATAAATAACCAACATTTCAATTAATGAATTGATACAACGTTAAATACATTTCAAACAAAAATGATAAATTTAACTCGGCTGAGGTTTGTGTTTACCATTGTTTTTGCCGTGTATATATATACGTAAGATGATGATTTTGTCTTCATAAACAACGCCATTGGTAGTCTTCAATTCATTTTCAACAGTGCATTAGTAGTAATTGATTACAAACAAATAGCATTGAGAAAGATATTGATGAACTGATTTCTTAATTAATCTTATGTTCCTTCTCTATACAAGCATACTATTCACACAATGTGTAATATGGACCAATATTTTCAAATGATTAAGCTTGGTAAAAAAAAGATTAAATATAACGCATTGGTGACGCGCCTTTCATACGCCTCTATAGGAAAGTCAATATCTATTAAATGGATACCGCAGCATGTTAATTTGCCGAATAAACAATGTGTTCTTAATTCTTCGCAGCACTTAGCCTCATCGCAGTTACATTGGCAAGTTCGAAAACCGGTATGATGTTTTTAAATCAGGATTCTATCATTTAGTATTAAAGACGAACACATCATATTGTTTAAAGATCAACCTAACACTGCCATAAACGTAACTAAGTATTTGAAACGCTTTGAGACATCATTTCTGGAGAAAAGAAAAAAACAATTGCGGGACTTTAATGAGAAACATATGAGATTACTAAACCGATTGAGTAACCTGATCAAAAGAAGTGTTCTTGCAAAATCGTGCTATAGTTTTATCTAAACGGAAGTTAAGGGGATGTTACTGTATATAGAGGAAAACACAGTGTAGTAGGACAGGGATCCTTATTATGGTCAGAAAATGACCCGTTTCGTCCTTTATGAATTAATATGTCGTCAGCTTTCCATAAGAATTTAACACGTAAATCCATTGTTGTGTCACAAGGTGTAGAAGAACAGCATTCTTGGACAAGTCTTTTGGTGTTCTTATTGGCTTTGTATCGTTCACTCAAAACGTTATAATGGCGATAATGAAAGTGTAATGACACGCCAATATTGGATAGAAATGCTAATCAATCCGTAGGCAATTGGAACGTTGTCCTATTTCAAACAGTAAGATTTGCTGCTGTCGTCGTTGTCGTTGCTGGCGTCGAATTTTGCTGCTCTAGTGGTTGAGGTGGCGCCTGTCCTGTCATCAAAGTGATGAACTCTACAACAGAATCATACAAAATGCATACAGTAAAATCATAATGGTATAGCTTTCTTAATCTAGTCAGACTTAAATTATCTGTCTCATGGACATTAACGTGGAGTTATCATATCGGACGATTGGATTTATTTTTTAGTATTATTTTTGTGCTCCATATGTATAATTCATGTCTTATTTTACTTTCGGATATTTTGGATGGGGTTTTATTTTAGTTCATTTCGCGTTTTGGGTGAATGTGTCATATTTAAACGCACCGAATTATGTCGCCGAAACATCCGGATTTTGGCAGACCATCTGCCCACTCGTTCATTGTAAACCAACTGGTGACTTCCGTGGGCTATTTTTGCATATAATTGCGAAACATGGAATTGTTTGTTGGCAAAATGTATACTGTTCTCTATATGCATAACACATCAATAAAGAAAGATATGTTTTCATCTGAAAGTGTCATTACTTTTCAATGTTTTCATATCTGTTGTTGTGTCATTGTGTTGAAAGGTATACAGATAAAGTATCGCGGTATGTATGTATTCTGCGTCAAGTGTGCAGCCACGGAATTCAAAAGGATGTGTATTTATGAAATCAACAAACAACTTGTATCATACTGACATGTTTTCAGTAAAATACCTGGGTAAACAAATTTTATAGAGGATCGAGCTCTGTCATCTTGCTGCACAACTACCGTAACATAATGCCAACATTTGACTTTTCCATTTTGTGCAAAAGACGTAGAATTTTGGCGGGGCCAAAATATTCCTAAGTACGTTGTATACGGATTATATATCAAGTAAACGTTCGACAAATTGTATGGTTAAAAATATGCATACCTTTCAACAATGATGTTCAATATGTTTTCTACTTTCGATGTGCACTTGTAATTTATGTTGTAGTGAGCTGAAAACGATCATCGGAGTTGTTTTGATATGTCCCAACATAGGAAAAATGTCTCTTGATTTTACCTACTTATATCTCAATTATCCTTTTGCACTTACCGTTAAAATCTATGAGACCGTCTCCATCTTGGTCTGCTGCTTTAATTAATTCCTTAACTTCTTCTTCCGACAATTGTTCACCGAGGCATCGCAAGGCTACACTTAATTCGGCAGGATCAAGGTAGCCATTGCCATCACGATCAAACGTTTTAAAAGCACAGGTAAGTTCGTCTAATTCATTTGATGTTTTACGTTTAGTTTCCATCAACTTAACAAATTCAGGAAATTCCAGACTCCCATTTCCTGTAAATAAATAAACACAATTATCATATGATAATTACTAATTCTAAAACGCTGATGTGGCAGATTGTCTATTAGGCGGCTTGTGCAGGCGGCTTAGACCGTATTAAAGTACAATCGTCAAAACCGTTATGATTGTTTAGATTGTGTCAACATATTCCAGTTCTTTACTTTGGTATGCCTCCCGAAGTTGAATTATTCCTTATAGATAGACTTCAGCTATCCACCGGCTGAAGAGATTTGCTTTAAAATCATCGTTGGGATAAGTAACTACTTGATTAATAATACTTTCTTGCTTTTTGTGTAATATATTTGTTTAATGTTTGTTTGTTGATATTGTTAGAAATGATTACTTATCAGCTTATGATATATCCTTGTCAGTGTATAATACATTATATGCAACAAGGGTGATGATTTGTCAGATATTCCCCTTGTCGTTGTGACGTCATAAATGACGTTCTCTTTTTTCTGATTGGTCATATATGCACGTTGTAGTTGAGACGTCATATTAACCCCGCTTAAATGCAAAATGACATGATCATTACATAGTCCTTTCCATAAAACTATTCAGATTTATATTGTGGTTTTCTGAGGTCGGTTACCTGAAGACTGTGTGTCGGCTTATTTTTTTACAAGACAGGACATTATTCTTACCATTGTCGTCTACATTTGCAATTATCTTTTCCATTTCCTCGTCGGTAGGATTGAATCCTTGTTGCTGCATGACTGTCTTCAATTCACTCAAAGATATTGTGCCATCTTTGTTTACATCACAGTAGTCGAAAGCCGTCTGGTATTCTAAAAGAGATAAATAGCAAAACAATTACAGATATATAATTAAAAGACTACATCACTACATAGTTTAACCCGAACTGCAAGAGAGAAAGTAATGTGTTGTAAGGCATTCATCGATTGCTTCAAGTTTTTATTTTTTACATTTTTTTGTTTCACTTCTAGAAATACACAAAAAACGAACATTTTGGTTGCAGATGCAGAAAGCCGAGGAAAATATTGTATCGAACCATATGGCTATTTCGTCCTTTTCAGACTCATCAGTTGTACGAATCTGTTAGAAAAGCAAGGTCTGTTTTAAAACAACATTTACTACTACCTCTTTATATGTATAAAATATGCAGCATTTCAGAAGAACATAACTTGTAAAAGTGGAAATTTTAAAAAAAAGGTTGGCGTTTTAACTGATTCCGGTTTGGAAATGTTCTCGTTGGTTGCGTAATTTATATTTTCTCCTTATTTATACACCGTAAGTTAATATTCGCGTCTGGATATTTAACGCTTATTTACTCAGCGCGAAAACCGCGAACATTTCCACACAGCTAAAACGTCCACTTTTACATTATAATGAAATCGTATTTCGGCTTCATTAACTACACATTATTGTAATCATAGTACCTGCCAACTGTTCCGGGCTTATTGGTTCTTCCTCTTCTTCTTGTTTTTGTTGCTCCTGTAACAAAATGCATACATTTGAAATTATTTTTCAGGATTTACGTACCACAAAAAATGTTAACTAAGTTTTGAAAACTGTTCATTTTCAACCAAGATTATGGCTGTGATAAATCATTTCCGAAAAGAAAACAATACTTTGCGGGGCTGATATGACAAATTATTAAGGTGAAAGAAACGACATGATAAACAACAATCTTCTGAGTGTAAAAAGGAAACAGGGCTAGACCTAGATTCGAACCCTGGACTTCAGATTGTTATACTATCTCCATCGCCGATGGAGCTATCTGGTCAACGGAAGTTTCCTGGCCCTGCTACAGCTATATCCAAACGGAAGTTAAGGGGAGATTACTGTATATAGGAAAAAACAAAGTGCAGTGGGACAGGGATCTTTGAGACAATTGTCTTGTGTTCTCTCTTGATTTTAAGACATATATTTAATTATCGTGAATGATGTTTGTGCAAAGGAGAGGAACGATGCCATTGTTGTCATTAGTATTATTATTTTTGAAAGATAGAAAGTGATTAGTTGAATCTGCTTTCCAACCGTCACTTGTGAAATCAAATGCAATGGTAAGATTAAGGAAATTTATAACATAAAAAATATGTAAATCAAGACGGTTTTTTCTTTGAGTGAATTTGTCGTAAAGTTTTTTTTTAGTCGAACAAGTGTTACCTGTACCGCTATTACACGGTAAACTCGATATAATGAAATGCAACATAAATATGTTATCTTTACCCACAATTCTTCTGTGCGGGAAGAAAATCATTTATCAACTGCAATACTGACATTAATGTTTCACCTCGAGCCCTGTATGCAGCCTTACATGAGGCCTATTTGAGCTGCATTCTCGTTTTCATTACACACCTACTAAAAGAACTAAAGCAGCATTCCAGTGCCAAGTGTGGCCAATGTTCAGTATGGCCATTGAGTTGAGATATTTGCCAAGTAGAGAAATACATAATGAGGATTATTTAGGTATCAGGGATTTGTGTAAAGTATGCTCTAATTAACGAATTTATTGCGTTGTAAACATTCGACTTTACATTTTCAGTTAAAATATGTAAACAATACAGATGGATGGGGGTGGGTGTAACTTCCTGTTTGTCTGAGTGACTCTGTTTGAACTGTAACAGATGCAAGACTCTGTCCATCAGACATTGAATGCGATGGGCTGTTTCATTAGCTTAGGGTATGACCGGTCCCCCGCTAGTGTCAGTTAAATCAGGGATAGCTGATAACACCCAGAATCTCCTGTTAATCTGTATTTGGGGTTTAAGCTTAAACTTACCTGTCCATGTGTAAATATTACCTAAAACCTCAACTATAAGTCATGCATAGATGTTAAATGATCCTTGCACAGCTTTGATACACGATATCTTTCGGAAAAAATCGATTGTTGAATCTATTTTACCACTTGCCTTGGGTTGTTTAGACCGTTATGCTTTACTGGAAAATTATAATATAATGGCTCAATCAGCAAACACCAGCAGGAACATTTGTTGTCTTCAAATAATGCATACTGCATGGTATATTACTTGTTTTATTATAATTCATGTAAGATTAGATTATAATGTGATTATTATGAAAACATGATAAGAATATATGTATCTGTACTTGTATGTAGGCCTGTTTTCATGTGATATTCTATTAACTGTTTCTCTTGATTTTGATATAAATACATATCTTTACCAACATACAGGAAAAGAATCGGGACACGAGCTGTACAATCATTATCAACTCCCTTTCACTGGCTCATTGTATGCGGTTTATGAAAACATCTACCGTTGTTGATATGTTGTTTATACTACGCTATATTTATAGTCTTTACACGAGGAGACCACACAATTCCAACAGATGTACAGGCAATATTATATCAGTTACTGTTAAATGGAATAATTAACTGATCAAACAAGTGAGACACTTTGTACTTACCATCGTGTTTTTGCCGAATATCCTCCTTAACAGTATGTTACCCTTACATAAACGATTGTCATTTGTTAAAAGTCCACCCTAATCTGGTACAACAAATTAACTAAGGTCATGCGTAATAATATCTGCGTTTGTGACAAGGAAAATACATTATTAGAAGGAGCATTGCAGGATTACGTATACGAAATGGTGAATATTTTGTTTTCAAAGTACCATACACAATAAAAAAACGTTTTAATATAATATGAAATTAGTCATTTATATTGCAAAAATAGTCAATGTGCTTTATAAACAATCGGACAATATAATTAATTTGTATTATCTATCATTCTAGTTTAAAGGACATTGTTTAAATAATCGTAATGGGAAATACGATATCTTTTATCTAGTTCTACAAAAGGAAATTAATATTCAAACAAACAAAATAAGACAAACCTGTTTTTTTTATTATTTAAAATGTTTGTAATGAAAAATTAATTATGTTTCGCCTTAAATTGTCCTCTTAAAAACAATGCATTGTAAATGTTCATGAGGTGTTTCGTGCTTGGGTAACCAATCTGAACTGATCCATAGTTTACATTACATTATAGTTGGCCGAATTATGCCCATCATTATCTTGTCTATAATACCTTACGCATGGTCAGCTTAAAACTATATGGCCTAAGTGAACATTTTCATTTATTCGGGTATAATTTGTTATTATTATTTTGTCATTTTTGGTTTAAAAAATTCCAGAACAGATATTGCATGTAAGACATCGGCGCATAAAAAGGCGCAAATTGATTTGAATATTCTACCAACCCCTATTAAGATTACTAGTTCGTGTTAACGTCCCGAAAACAATTAGCCCGGTGTCACACGTCTTCGGTGTCATCACAAGGCGCTGATATCTTGGTATGGCGGGTATTACCGTATTCATGACGTTTGGACAAAACTGATGCGTTTTTGTTTATAACTTTAAAAGTGGTGTTGCAATGGAATATGTTAGCAGTAATACAATCAACTACTGGTGCTTTAGGTATTACTCTGTTTGATTTATATAGCATGATCTCACAGCTGATATATTGACCATAGGCAGGGGTTCACATATCATTTATTTAATTAGATCAACGTTCCAAACTGTAACAAAGGAATGTAAATAGTTTGATATTATTTTTCCTTCTAACAAAAAAGTATCTAGTTTGGAAAGCTGATTAACATGTATGGAATATCGAGACACAATCTAAAACAATTTACCAAAACACATTAATTGAGAAATCGATATTAATTATATACATGTATTTGTTCCAATATTATGCTAAAATATAACTGGAAAATATATTTACACGGACATCATTGAAATGTGTAAAGGAGAATCTGGCAGGTGTTATTGAAGGGTTAGCCTCTTCTGCTTTATTGACAACATCTGCCGTGTAAACCCAGCGCAAATCCTAGTAATATAAACTGAAAATCGGAGTAGTCACAACGAAAAAACAAGAGAAGCTATTAAGGGGGGGGGGGGGGGGGGGGGGATAGATTATAACATAGCTTATTATTTCTAATAGTTGTCATCAACTTGCCTATCTGCAAATCTCGTTCGGATCAACCGTGAATAAAAAAATCAATTGCTACAATTGTAAGCATTGTAAGCAGTGCATGCTTGGAAGAAGTAATGTTGCCATCAAGAAAAGGAACATAAATGCTCAGAAAAGTAAATCATCGCACTTTTAAAGCTTTGTTGTAAGCTATCTCTGCAGATCATCTTGAAAGTAAAGAAGGTAAGCGGCAAACGTGAGCAAGTCCCGGTTTGTCACTATTGGTGTATGCCAACAGTTAGGTGCTGGAAATCTTAACAAAGAACTCATCAAAGATGCAATCAACCAGGAATGAATCATTCTCCCCATTTGTATGTCTCCGATGTATTTTAAAACAAAAAATGCTCCTGTGTAGTTAAACACTAGATATCGCAATTGGTCTCCAAAGGATATATTTTGTAATAAGATAGCCTTTCTGTTTGGTATAGGGTGTGGTAGCGTAGAGGGTAAACAGTTCCAATGTTCTGATAGGAATAAATGAGTTAAGGATTTAAATATAGATTCAAAGATCTTTTGACTTGAGGCAAATCAATATTCCATGAATTCCTCAATGTGAGCAGCATTCGTATCATGTAGATCGTTTGGTGTGGTTGAACATTTGTGTCGATAAATAAAGAAAATGCATTTTTTTCTGTTCTTGTTTTATATTTCAATTTGCTTATTGTTTTCACAATGATAAACCTGTGTTCAACATATTCTGAAAATGATTTTAAATCGGCAACCTTTTTTTGTTTGCCCATTCGTTGCCATCTTTTGTTTCACATTCCAATTAAAGATAGTAGTCTCTATACGTAGGCCGTTCATTAATAGCTCTCGTAACTTTGTATTATTGATATTTGTTAGATGATCGTTACTACGTGCTCTGCTAGACAAAAACTTAACATAGAATTTGCTAAGTGTGACATGTTTGCTTCAAAAAACTCATGGAGCAAGATATTACTGGTGTCAATGACATCTACCCTTTCTTGGGGGAAAATGTGCAGAATAATATTATTATAAAGAATGCTTCGATTAAACAAAAAATATGTTTGTTCTTCATTGACATGTTTTATTGAAGAGTTATCTTTCAAAACATAATATAATCTCTTAATTTATTTGGAGATCTGTGATATTATGTTCCTACGAGAAGTAAACGAAAATTAAAACCTGATGAGTTATCGTCGTTTAAAATATCGACAATCACATTTAATGTAACGAATATGAAGAAAATCACAATGGAATAGTCCCAAAAAAGTTGTTATCTGTTGCCAGCATTTACACTTGAAAGAGCATCAATGGATTTAATAATATAGATTATTTTTATAATGATGTTGGTGTATAGTCGTTTTCGTGCTTCACTGGTTCGCAAGGATCTTCACAAACTCTGAAAAATGAAAATATATTGTTTTCATTATATATATGTAAATGTTATCTGTTTATTTATATATGAAAACATTACTATTTTATATTGAGTTTATTCTATAGATATATGTAAACTTTCACCATGCTATTGTTATTTTTAATGTATTAATTTGAATAATAATCTCAAGACATATATAACACATATGTATTAGAACAGGAGTGTTTCTCTCTCCTGAAAGGTCATTGAAAAATGTTTTAAAAGATGACTGTTTCTCTCTCCAGACAGGCCATAGATACAGGTAATAGCCGAACATTGAATCTGTTTGTTGACATGAATCACTGGCACGAGTATCAGGGATAATGTAATAAACCGCAGCCGTACGTACATACAAATTATATACCCATAAATGTATACAGCTGGAGTTTTAAATTAAGTGTTTTTCTCTTTAAAAGCAAACTAACCACTGTATTTTATGTAGCCGTCCCCATCAGAATCGGCCTCTCGAATCAATTCATCTACTTCCTCGTCTGTCAGTTTCTCCTCCAAGTTTGTGAGAGCATGACGAATTTCTTTTGCACTGATCAGACCGTTGTTATCTTTATCAAATGTCTTGAATGCATTAAGAATTTCCTCCTCCTCGTCATGTCCATCAGGGAGGAACCGGATCATGCATTCCAAAAAATCCTGGAAATCTACTGTGCCATGTCCTGAGAAAAGATGAACGTTCCATATCAAAGATATACAGAATATATAATAGAAGTCACGACAGTTTTTGTGTTTACAAAAAGAACTTAACGCATTTGTTGTCACATAAACTAGTGTTATGCGAAAGAAATATGTCCTTTCATTTTATGCGTCCATGAAAGAGATTTTTAAGGGAATTTTGTTCTAGTTTTAACAGCAGTATGATGCAATGTCACTCATTTTTGACATATTATATATTAATTTGTATAGGTGCGATCACATACCTGTATGTTAAATTCATCTTCTAGACATATAATGATATTGAAATACGAAATTCTTTTAATGACTAAACATTTTCTATTGTCAAAGACATGTACCCATTGTAAAAACTTATTTTAATAGCCAAACACATTTTATTGTAATGTAAAAATGTGTTATCATAGATATCTTATCACATTTATAGACATGTTGCAATATAATCAAAGTCAAATCCTGTTATAATTATCTTAGACATTTTATCTAGGTACATTCATATTATCATTGTCAATGAAATGCATTGTCAATTATATGTTATCATTATGAATGCTTTTCTATCAATTTTAATCTCAAATATATGGTTTTATTTTCGAGCAAATTTATCCTTTTTAATGTAAAATATTCAATACTATTGTCAAAGAAATTATCTTGTTTTACGTTTAAAGATGTATTTTTTTATTGTCAATAAAATGTATTTTTTTCTATTGGCAAAGGTGTGTTATTTTTTATAATAATGCAAGGGAGATAATCACCTGTGGGGTCAACGTCCTTCATCATTTCCTTGAGCTGGGCCTCTGTAGGAGCTGCACCCAGAGATCTGATTAGGATTGCTATATCCTTTGAGTCTATCGTTCCATCTCCGTCTTTATCAAACAGCTTAAACGTGTCTTTAAACTCTTGAATGAAAAGCAGATACTTTTCAAAATCACTCGGCATTTTTTATAGTTTTCATAATAATATAGTGATACAATTTTTAACAATCATAATCAGCGATGATTATCAATAATAATTCGATCAAGCGTACTTCTATTTTGGAATATTTTATTATATTTAAAACCACAGCTATCAGATTAGAGTGTCTGTGTATGCTAATATGAAAACATATTGAACACTATTATGGGGTTTTGTATGTTTAGAAATCAAACAATGTAGTTGCTATTAGATACAGTTGTCAGAAACAAACCTGCTAGTTGGTTATCTGTTAACTGGCTTGCCTATAAAAAAGATAATTTTAGTAGTGAAATAATACTTTATATATTGTATCTGTCATATGTAAATATAAATCTGAAACAATTAAGAATTAAAATATAAAAAACAAATAACATGTTCAAGGAAATGTGTCATCACAGCGTTATATAAACCCATAGCTATTCTTTTTAATTATGAGAAGTATACATGTATATTTAATTTTATCAGTATTCAATGAATATCAATCAATTTTAAACATTCATATACAGTACTTGTTACCAGCGGTCCTATATAATTTGTCCTTCTTTAAATAGACATGCATATTTTGGTATAACGATTCGTAACACAATGTCTTTCTATGCTCTGCTTTAGTAACTATATTTGTATTATAGTACAGATATACCTGGTTTTGTCGGACTTAACAACACGTAAATGTAATCCACAATATGAGAAAAATAGTAAATAACTTATCAATAACTGATGTTACTTACCATGGTGAAATGTTGATATTCCCGGTGTTAGACAGATGGGGGAATTATGATAATACAGACTAGTCCACACTAAGGAATACGAACATGCGACATCATGGTTATCAAAGTTTGAACACTGTTAAGTTAAAATAGATATGTGTTTGTTTCATACTTCAACGATACGGGTAAGATGCCACAGTTTTGAAGGAACGTGATTTGTTTTTGAAACTTGATTCCGTTCTTGTGATACTCAACAAGATCATATAGACCATTTATACAAATATTGAAATCAAACAGAACATATAACTATGCTTACCAGGTATTAAAGTAAGCATTTATGTCATCTACATCAAATATCTACTTTTATTTAGAAACAATAATTATTTTTCTTTATAAACAAAATGTTAACAAATTGCTCTTCTGGAATAAGAAATGCAGACACTGTACGTGACTATATCCCACAGTGTGGTAGCCAATGCCTAAATGACAAACAATGTACTACAAACAATGTATCAATTACAGCACGTACCATATCGGCCGTCCGTTCAATTAGATTTAATCTTAACGTACGTACCATCCTGGTCTGTACATTTAAATTATTCATGATGTCCTTTTAAGTGTGGGGTATCATTATTTGGCAATAAAGCTGTTTTAGCTACAATGGCTTATAACAATGATAATTTGGGGCTACACATACGCACAAACAATACGTCAAATCTTCATGCAAACACGTTAGTGTGTGTGTGTGTTGGTGTTAACGCATAAGTTTATAAAACCAGAAAAGAAGTTTACCCATAATGCTGCTTTGTATGCATCGTGTTGTGTATGCAGTTACTTCCCTTGTACGTAGAACGACGTTGTCAATTTGCATTCTATATAAACTATTGGTATTGATAGAAGCACACTTATTTTTGTTAAAAACATATGCTTTATGAGTGATTATGTTAAGGCCAAGCTACCAGAATTGGGACATATTTATTCATATGTATATCTCGAGAATATCTGTTTTATTGATATTATTTATATATTTATTTTTCATTGTTTTTAATTTCTTCTGAATTAGTTGATATTTATTTACCAATATTGTATCTTTTATAATGTTTATTTTCTTACTTTAATTACAGGAGTAATGTGTATTCTTACACATGTTTGTAATGACAGATTATCATCAGAAATTTTCCTTGATTTAACCCGACAATAACAATTTCAAAAATCAAAATATGATATACAGATTGTAAAATGGAGTTGATAAGATATCAATATATTGTTTATTCAAGAAACAAAACTGAAGATAGAGTTACGATTAACTTTTGTTCGACCAGTGTTAAGAAAATATTGGGGAAAGGATAATTTAAGGTATTACGATAGGTAATAAGATAATTATAATTTAAGATTTATATGGCATTATATTTCATTATATAACATTGTATTTCATTATATAACATTATATTATATATTTGTGTAAACAGTGATTATTAAAGAAAACTTAAGATATCAACTTGATTATCAATGTCAAGATAACATTTATTAATATATTGATGCATTGCCCTTCATTTCAGAAAAACCGAGAGATATCCTCGTCCATATTTCCTTGTTCATAACTTCCCAGTTTCATCATACATTCACCCAAGTTAAATATGATCAATCGTGGAGATGTTATTTGGCCGACATAAAACAGACATCCAATAGAAAATGTTATCAGGTTGGCGTCCCCATGTTGCCGTCTGCTTCAGTCATTCGGAACTCGGTTGTGGTGGTTATTGCTCTTTTTTTAGAGAGGCTCCGAATAACAAAAATATGATATATAGCAAAACTAATTTTTTGCACATAAAATGTCGAGCCACCTTCGTTTCTAACTAAGCTTGACCAAATAGTGGATCAGTTTGATAAAAGATGCATCTTGCATTTCATGTTCAACAAAACGCTGATTATTTGTATAAAAAGAAATCCTTGTTTTGACCTTACACGGGGGCCTTACACTTCCAGAAAAGTAAACATCATACATGCTCATTTCATTTTCCATATAGATATTATTGTTAATATCATGGCCACAATTGTGTTGTAATTTCATTTTGGAGATGTTAATTCATAGTAACTAAACCATATCATTCATATTTCCCCCAAGACATTTATAGGATCCCCAATGAATGATGGTTATCATGTTTTTCTAACTCTCAACAGATACATTTTAAATTGTATGACGACACGAGGTATAATGAGTGTCTTTTGCAATTTGAAAATTAGCTAATGAGAGATAGATAGACATGACACGCTTGTCTTTGATTTTGCCATGACATATCCCAGAAAACCTAGGTGAGCGTTTATCTGGAGCTTGGCTGATGGGAAAATGTTTTTTGGAAAGAAATGGAATCATGTAATTCATCTACATCATAGAATGTTGCACAAAATAGTCAATAAAGCCCAAAGTCAGACAGATGGAACAGGAAACATAAATATAGAACTCTCATAACATTGCAATGTGTTATGTCTATAATGTTCCGATACTCGCACCGATAGGTTTCTATCATCAGAGTGCTTTGACACATTAAACCCAATGTGAGTTGAAAGGAATAACAAATCTCTTTTTCCATGACATTATTCAGCATGACGTTTATTTCAAAATGCTACAAAACTGTATAACAACAAAATTAAATGTAACTACCATTTTAAGATAAACAACACATAAGCATTTTTGTTCTACATGTTTTACTTCCATAGTTGTATCCACAATTTTCATTTAAAACAAAATATGACAGTATAACCTGATTGAAGTCGTTTGGATTATACATAGTAACATTTGAACGGGTAACATTAAATAACGTAAATGTATACAAATTAGTCTCAGTGTGTTGAAAATGTGTCTGAACGATCCCCGAAGAAAGCTTATTTTTATGAAAAATAACAGATGAAATTAACAGGACCTTATCAGTAATTCATGAAATTTATTGCTGGACAAGACCTTGGACATCATATTTATATATCATTGCTTTAACCAATTGAGCTACCTGGTCGACGGAAATGTCCTTGCCCCAACTGTACTGCAGTTAAACCTTAGCGGAGGTTATGGGTTAGTTACAATATTGAGGGGGAAAATGGTTTTGGATGTTTATTGTTGAACGTCCTGTAAACAACTATGGGCATTTAAGGACGTACCTCCAAGTGTGACGTGCATCCGTGCATGTGTGTATGTGTATAGGAAAACACTCTGCGCAGCGGGACAGGGATTCTTAACACGATATGATCCAAATACCATTAAAAGGGGATGTAATGATCTAAAAGAAAATCTTTAGGGATTTAACAAACAAAATTAAATTTCTGTTTACCAGTTTAATTTACGTCTTTTTCGCTCTCGTAAAAAGGATCACTTTAAAATGAGAGCGAATGTTTAGTACACAGCATATCATATGATAGAAGACAAAAACATGTGAAAGGCGAATTGACACTAGGTCCCCCTGGTGTAGGGCGACCAATCGTACAGAGAGAATCTCACATACGTAGTCTACGTAGTGCGGTAACAGACATATCAAATGGCTACACATTTGAAATTATCTTTACCATATGATTTAATGATTTAATTATTTTATTTGCTTCCATGAATACAGTACATTAGAAAAGAGAGAATATAAAACATGTAACAATAATATATGATATTTTGAAACGATTTCCAGTGAGTGTCAAAAAATACAGATCAAATAGCGATGAATTTGAGATTCTCTTTATCATAACATCTAATTATCAGAATAACTATTAAAACAACAAAATTGCACTCAGTGAAAAATGCTGTTTTATAGTATTAATATAATCCAATACGTCCCCGTCAAAAAATAAGTCCATAAGATTGATAAATATGTAACAATAAATTCTACTTCATATTTATGATATTGCTATGCAATGACCTACATGGGAAAACATTATCAAAAACTTATTTATTTCATGAACACCAACACATTCATACAACAGATAGGTTCTAATAATTTAAAAAGAAGACATGAAACATGTAAATATATCACAATCACAAGCGAAATCATAATTAAAATTATATATTTTAACAATATGAACTCTATATATAAGACGATTCAACATGATAAATTTGTAAGAACTATATAAGTTATACTTATATTGGAAGTCTAATTGACAAGGTGTATTTATATGTATTCAAAGATTATCACACTATGTATTCAGGGTTTGTCTGCGTTGGTTTCTCGATTTTATCCATATGCACACGATGAGAAAATTCTTCTCACAACAAACACTGAACACTTTTTCCACCTATATACTACTACATTATATGTTTCTCAATTCATAAAATGCCATCTGATTCTCATAATATTTTTCCATTACTTTATAATGATTTGTTGATGACGGACTATTTTTTACGGGGATCACTTTTGTTTGGATACATTTTCCATTCATGACGTCACCTTGCGTCAGCAGATGTTCTTTCTAAGGAAAAACAGTCCCAAAGGGAAAATCCATTCTCCAGTTGTTTTCAAGTCATTCTCAATTTCATCTCTTGTGTATTCTCATACTGACAACCCATGATAACGAATTTATCACGTTACCGATAGGTGTTACAAAGTAGTATATAGATGATAAATAACTATCTCACTGTGTGCTTTGACTAAATGCAGATTCGGTAATATTTCATTTTTAATGTTCGTATTTACACATGTTGTGTTGCTGTGGCGATTTTCTCATTTGTCCATACCGTCAGTGATTTATTCTCAAATCCGACCCACGAGGGTTTTGGTAAACTCTGAAAAAAAAGTTATTTGTAATTAGTTCAATGGTATAAAATAAACAAGAACAGAAATATCCAGTTAAATTACGAAGCAAACAATATTGAGAAAGGAGGATGACAAGCATAAAAGTAATAAAAAAGAAACCCTAATGTTACAATGCTCTTTATTAACAATTATAGAGTATATAAGGTTATTACCTTCATAATTTATAAATCCATCTCCGTCAACATCTGCATCCTTCAGAATATCGTCGACTTCATGTTTTTGTAGTTTTTCTCCACAGTTTGCCAGGATTCGTCGGAATTGATCTACTGATATGACCTCGTCACCATCTTGGTCGAACAATTGGAATGCCGCCCTTATTTCTTTGAAATGGTTTAGATTTTCAGGAATAAGTTTCTTGAATGATGTGTATAAGGACAAAAATTCTGGAAACTCAATTAGGTCGTTTCCTGAAAGAAATGTAAATGCTCATTTTTAGACATTTGTTTTTACAATTTTCTACAAAAGAAAACAAAATATAAAATAGCATATTTACATGCCATTTATTTCTCATCTTTGATATAACATCTTAACATAAATAATCATCATGACGAACGCATGTATGATACAAGATGAGGTAAAGGGAATGAGAAAGCTGTCTTTGGTAACGCATACCTCTTAAAACAGTTATTAAATGATGCTAGAAATATCAATTTGAGATTTCATGATAATGATCAAAAGAATTATAGTTGAAAAAACAATATTCTTTTGATAGTCAGGAACTTCTCCCCAAGTATTATTTTTCATATTGAGTATACAATTCTCCTTAAGGAAATCTTTCCCAAGCATAGAAAGTTTCAGAACTGTACCAGGGCTCACGCTGTCGGTAGCCAAAGTAGCCATTGGCTACTTTTATTTTTTATTGGCTACTAAAAATTCGATGTGGCTACTAAATTGACTACTAAGTTTTTAAAAATGGGGAAACTCTGTATCTTTGTCGTAGAAAACGATCTGTCTACTCGAGCTCACGTGTGTATTATGGCTGACACTGATTGCGTAAACATAATCAGGGCCGTCACAGATCAGCGCGCGCTGTACGACTGCGAGTTAATTAATGCTTTTGTCTAAGTTGTAAAGTCGATTATCAAGCGTCAGATGGCAAAAGGTGTTATAATTCTTGTACAATAATTATGGACAGTGGGGTCAAATTAATTGGATGACCCTTTGACGTTGAGAAAACAGTCTGATAAGTGATTCACTCATAGGTGGTCTCGCACACGTACATTTGACGGCGCCGTAAGCCGATCTGATAAACTCGTTCAATCACCGCATCCAACAAATTTACGGGTTCAGTATATCTAAATTAGTGTACATGGTATTTATTTACCTTTTCCAGTACCGTAGTAAGCACAAATACGTCCTATATGCTTGATTAGAAAGTATAAGTATCGCCTTGAAACACCATGTCGAAGTGCCGATTTTCGGCCTTTCAGATAACTTCAAACGATAGGCCCTATATCGTATCTGACTGTGTACTTTCGTGGTTAGACGTTTTAGAATTTCAAGTGATCGAGAAAAGTTATTTAGCATCGCAGTTATGCAGTTTTTAGAACAGCAAACCGTTCAGAACTACTTCGACGGTCGCTTATTAGGTGCCAATCGACGACACGTGCACGGGAATGGCCAAGTTGCGCGACGTGATGTGCTCCCGATTTATTTCGAAGGGTTGGTCAATACCGTTATAAATTCGTCCTTTTCCTTTCAAATGTGTTCTACTGCCATTTACATTTGAAATGTGTGATCTTTTTAAATATATTTATATATTTATTTTTTTACATAAAACATGAATTACGGTGAATGTAAACAAAGGAAAAATAATTATCAATATTGCATCACTGAGGCTACTTTTGATTTGGATTTTATTAGTTTTATTTGTTGATTGAAGGCACGGAATTAAGGCGAATAATATCTTATTTGAACTTTTCAAGCTTTTTTCACAATTCCTGTGTCAAGAAAATGAGATAAAGGCTGATTTTTCTCTCTTTTGAAAAAATAAATAAAAAAAGTTCTGGTGGAAATTTTCAGCATTTTAATTTAAGTTATATTTTCTTAAAATTACAGCCATGTAATCTGAAAGGATTAAAAAAATATCACATCATGGATTAAATTATAAACATGATCTATAACATTTTTTTTAATTTAATAGAGTACTCCTTAATTTAACATCATATTGAATAGTATTGCACTTCAAATTTTTTTAAATGTTCATTGATTTTAATGGAGGGCCTATCCGTAACGGTTGGGGGCCGAGAAAGTATGGCTGCTTAAAAAAAATGGCTACTGAAATTCAAACATGGCTACTTTTTTGGCTACTGATTTTTTAGGTCCAGGGTGAGCCCTGTGTACATTAACAAGTGACATTGATAATAGTCATAATTAACTAGAGACATTGGTAATAGTCACAAGTAACTAGCGGCATTGATGATAGTCACAACTAACTAGCGACATTGATATTAGTCATAATTAACTAGAGACATTGATAATAGTCACAAGTAACTAGCGACATTGATAATAGTCACAATTACCTAGCGGCATTGATAATAGTCATAATTAACTAGAGACATTGGTAATAGTCACAAGTAACTAGCGACATTGATAATAGTCACAATTAACTAGCGGCATTGATAATAGTCACAAGTAACTAACGACAATGATAATAGTCACAATAAGTAGAGATATTGAAAATAATTTAAGCAAAGTTTAAGCAGACGAATTATTGTATAACAATGCAGTTATTAATGCACACGATAATTATTTATTTGTGTAAAGACTATACAAAATATCATAGGCAAAAACATGCAATAGAAATTATAAAGGTAAGTATTTTCTCAACAATTATTGACAAGGAGAAGCATCAATGTCTTTTAAAAAGCAATACATATTCCAAAATCGCTGATTAGGTCGAAGTATATTGGTAGGATTTCTAAAGGAAGTTTTACTTACCATTTGTATCCGATTCCTTCGCTACTTTCTGCAAATCCTTGATTTGAGCCTCTGTTGGATAATGTCCAAGGGCTCGTATCACAAGCCCCATTCTTTGTATGGATATAGAGCCTGTCCCGTCAGTGTCCAGTAAGGCGAACGTTTCTCTCATATCTATAAGGAGAACATACGTACTAATCCGATAACGTTAAACAATGACAAAATAATGTGACTATATCATTACTGTTTCACACAGGAGTGATTCCAACACTTTATGCACAATTACAAATATGACAGAGATTCACCTAACACACAAACAGTATACTGCAGCTTTAAAGTTTAATAATAGATATAGTATGCCACAAATGAATTTTAGTGGTCTCGTTTTAGCACTTTATCAATTTTTGACAAATTAGTCCATTGATGAATTGGCGCACCCACAAAATATATATATAGAAAACAATACTGAACCATAGAGCTATTTCTTTCTTCTTAAGTTGATTTATTCGTTAATATGATAATTAATTACAACTGATTGTAATTAATCACAATGCATTTATAAGTAAAATGTGATTAGTTTATAAATTGATGAATAACTCCAATTGAAAGTAGCAGGATGGTGACCATATTTATCTTGCCCATTAACAAGTTGATTGGATACTTTGACTTTCGAGTATTTCAGATAAAAAACACCACAATAATTTTAATTAAATTTGATTGCGTCAATCAAATAATTTTACACTCAAGAAAACTTTAACACCGCGTATACAAAATATCAACTAGTATTTGGCGTTTTCTCTGTTATTAAATATCAACGCCGATTAAAAAAAAAATGGCCTTACCGTCAATTTCATTCATCATTTCTTGCTTGGCCGTCTGAAAAAAATAACGTCATCTATTAAGTCAAAAGCTATAATTCTTCCAGTGATTTTTTTTATATAAATAATGACTTATCATACGTATTAAGAAAATTGAAAGGTTAAAACTGGATCACAGTGGTTTTTTATTGATATAATCCTTAAAACGAATTCTTACCCGATGATAACAAAACGTGTTATTACCAAAAACAGAAATATATATGTAGATATTTGATAAATGGTATATATTTAAAGCAACATCGATACGAATATAGCATACTGATAAGCTTAAATACAATTGGTTTATTATTTGGTTCATTTATGACATATAAACAGTGTATAAACGTCAAGAATGACCATTGTTTTGACAGAATCAAGTGACCAAAAACAGCTAATGACGTACATATCCACATCATTCACTTCACAAATACGAATATTCTGTGACGTAAATGTCAATCATTGTTATATCTGAACTTAATTGGCAGACGATCGACTGCATACCTCACACAAAACAGAGCTGTTCCGACTGAGTAGCCCGAAACACACTTTATATACAAGTACATTTGTACCATACCCCGTGCACAGTCAACAAGTTGCTATATTTTCTTCTTTACGAATACTTGAGGTCAAACTACACAATTTTGTATTGTAAATTATTGGACGGGTTTATTGAAATAGTCCATATAGACTGTGTGCTAACTCCATTATCTTTGTATGTTAGCGTAAACTTGGAAGCCCGAAACACACTTTATATACAAGTACATTTGTACCATACCACGTGCACAGTCAACAAGTTGCTATATTTTCTTCTTTACGAATACTTGAGTTCAAATTACACAATTTTGTATTATAAATTATTGGACGGGTTTATTGAAACAGTCCATATAGACTGTGTGATAACTCCATTATCTTTGTATGTTAGCGTAAACTTGGTATTTTATATGGTCGCTGTTGTCCTAAATCAGAACTAATAAATGTACAGCTTTTGCGTTCTGGCGAATTGTTTCTTATCGGATTCATTATGTCTCTATTTAGTGTTACAATAAGTAACTGATATAAAAAAAAGTGTTCAAGTAAGTGCACAAGATTTTCTGAAGTACATTTAAACCTCTTATTGCCACCTATAAATTTGATTAAGTCCAATGTTATTGTTTAAAAAATTGTGTAGGACTCCATTCAGGCAAGCTTCAGGCCACATATATTGTTCTTCACGTTTATCTAGAAAAGTATGTAATCCAGACATTCATTCTTGCAAACGGATTTCTTCAAACAGTGATTGTACTCGTTCATCAAAAGGTTGTTTTTGTTATTGCTAATATCATTTATACAAGCGTTAACTGGGAAAAGAAAGTAACATTCATTGCAAAATAAAACCACACGCATGTATAAAGCAATTTGTTTGAAATTGTTAACGACCCTGGCTCAATGCGTCATCGAATCTTCCCCTTCGTTTTGGAAATGACAGAGAAATCTAAACCTAAGGAGCAATATTCTGGATTGTGTAACACATAACTTTCTTCAAGCCGAAAGTAAGAAGCTTCATATTCTCATGCCGAGGGATGTAATTTCATAAGCAAGAATGGGAAGATTGTTTTTCCACCATTATATCAAAAACATATGGGGTTTATTGCTTATCAGAATGTGTACTCTAGGGGAAGACAGAGAAATCAAACCTTAGGATGACAATGGGATGTTGAACAGGTGGAATTGGAGATAAATAAGTGATAAGTGGGAAACGGTTTGGTCACATCTCGTTTGAAAAACAATTCTGCAATTTGTCGGGAAACAAAATTCATAATTTAATCATGTTGTACGATACTAATTTGCATAAAATACAGCAGACTACTATTTACATTGATATAAAACACAAAACCATGTATCATACGTTTGATAGGGAGTACGGCAAAAGGCCAACGAGAGAATACTGAAATGGCTTCCATGAATATTGGTAGACATAACGACGCAGACCGTTTCCATTGTCTAGACTTGACTGTGTATCACATGTATAGGCCACTTGCAAAAATGTTGGTTTGACCACAGAATCCATGCGTAATAGTGAGAACGTTTTTTTATGAAAACGTGCACATTAGTTCTAAAAAAGTGTCTGCTGCTTCATCGAGGATATCCGACACGTAAATCTTGTTCAAATTCTCATTTCCTGTCCCAAATCGAAAACCGGAGTAGTGATAAAGAAAAAACAGGGCACACTAAAGGGCATGATAGGAATGATCGACCTTCATACCACACATATTCTCCCACCCTCCACAGATGTGTCCCCCGTTTTAGCCGGGGAAGATCAGCTTGTCACCTCCTAGGGGGAGATTGTCTAGTGCCGATTAACACGTGTTCAACTATGACGTCATTAAAATGCGTCACCGGTAATTGTGACGTCATCAAAAGTGAATGACGATATTCATAACCCACATTTGTTTTTGTTTACACTGCTGTCGGTAAAGTTGTGACTGTAATAATAGAATGGGAGAAAAATAATCATCCCCTACTTTGAGGGTCTAACAGAGAAATTTCCAAACTTCGGAGTCATGTTTTTTGGTTGTCTTACCCTCAGCAGAGCCCCGGATAAGACAATAAAAAATATCACCCCTCGGGTTGAAGATTTCTCTGTCACACCCTCAAGGTAGGGGAAGATTCTATTATTCCCCATGAGATCATCACTATACAATATTCACTGATTTGATATATTGTTTTAAAACCAACAACTTATTAAGTTTTTCATCATTGTAGAAAAACAAATTAGATGCATTCCAAACATATAATGTGATGATGTGTCCGGTTAAATTGATCACTGTTAATTTCGCACACAATCATGACAACTTGTTTGCGGATATAAGCCACAGGAATGTTTAATAAAAAAATAGCTTTATTACAGATATGTTTTCAACACATTTTAGCAAGTGCTATATATCCTTTATTATTAATATTGATATTTGGCAAAATAGATATTTATTATCTTAAATGAAGGGTAATAAGTAAAATATATGCTATATCCAAATGATTGTAAAATTTGCAAATATTTCGGAACAATTTTGAATATTGGTTTTTAATCTTTTGACCATGAGAAGTATCACTGATGATCTTTAAATGGACAAAATGGTCATATGATTCGATTTGGTAAACCAAACGAAATGACAACAGTATAAACCGAAGAAGCATTCATTTCAGGGAACAAAGTATAAAATAGCACGTCAGTGTATAACTAACCCTCCGTATCAAGGATAATAAAAATACTGTTTTGAGGTTATGTACAGCACTAATCTCCATACCTAGATTTTGTTTATTTGTTTGGGTTAAACGTCCTCGCATCAACCAGAGTCATACTGGTCCTAGGGAAACACTGTCGAAAAGAGAGGGTAACATAGAAAGAAAGTTTATGATATAGATGCCAAGTGTTGCAATAGGGATCAATTGCAGCAGATCAATTTTGTTTGTTTACGATGTCTTCTAAGTACAGGATACAGTAAAAAAAAAACACAGACTTTTCAGGGGGCCCCTAATTGGTTGCCTCTTACAGCGTTCAGATGGCTACAGCCGGACAATTATTTACCCTCAGTTGCTTGGGTGTCCATATCTAGAAGGACGGCTTTGTAACATATAATATAACTTAATCTTATTTATATATAAAGAGCTTCTATTATAGTGTAATGATCGCTAATTTTCGTATCTAGAACTGCTATGGTAAATGCCACGAGCTTCCATCTATAAAACTTAACATAGCCTTACTCCTAACTTATTTTCTATTGTAAATAGCATTAACCTCCTTATCTATAATTTTCGGTAATAGATAAATGAATTTCAATGCACCATACAACTGTGTCGACCTTCTACGACCAATCGGTGAAGTTAGTGGCTATGAATTTGGAAAACCAAATTTGTCTTAGCTACTGTTCAAGACGAAGGAAGGTGCATAAAGACCCTCAATCATACGAATTTCAAAATTTATAGAAGTGCTGGTTAATGTCAAATTAAGTTACGAGGAAAGTGTGTAAACAATGTATTAAGAAAACCGTGCTTTTGTAAACTCGAAAGAGATTATTTTGTTATCAAGGTAAAGTAAGATGAACCGTTCTCGATAATTTTGTACGTTGCATACAAGGTTCCATTTTCATATAGCGTTAATTATAATAGTACCAAATTTAAACGCATATGTTTCATAAAAACTATGCGCATTTAAACTTTGACCTGGTTTGTAGTGTTTAAAATGTAAATCACTAGAAATGCGAATAAAAGAAATAATTATTTGAAAACTTGATTATAGTCAAGCATTTATTTCACAATATGGCCATTTCATCCATTTAGGGCACATCTGTGGTACTTAAGGTCCAAACACTAAAAATGTATGTCTAAACTTTTTCGAATCATATGTGAATGACACTAAAAAGGAAAGATGCCTACATATCTCTCAATAATTTTTTAAATGTTGGCTATCACAAACATTTTATATTTAAACTAACATTTTATGTAAATCATGTCAGAACAATTTACAAGTACAGTGTTCTATTATTATGATATCACACACTTACCATTTTGAAGACGATTGGATGAAGTTACAGCCTTATAGCAACAACGCGTTTCTAGGTGTACACCAACTCCTGTGTTTAATATAGACAGAATGACACGATACTGCTCCTTATATATACAATGCCATTCCTTTATAATATGTATTGGATTTCCAGCTCAACGACTGTCATTAAATACTTTGTGATCTATTTTTAAACAATTTGCGATAGAGGACTAGGTCGATTAAGTTTGAAAAGATTAATTTTGATGAGGTGATATCGTATTAAGAACAATACTTAGGCCGACGTGGCAGTGAATATGCACTAGGCCCTCGTGTTATTTTCTACCTATATATAAAAGGTAATTTTGATTGTTTTCTTTTATATCCTGAATATATGACGTCAATGTAAGATCCGTATTTCTTAAAGAGTATGAAATATATGCCTTATCTTGGGTAATTAACAAGCATTCTAATATAATTACTGAATGAGTCTCTATATTAAAAATATATCGTGAGATTAAATCATTGCTTTTAGTTATTGTCATGTCTACACTGTTTTGCACTGTCTGTTATATAGAACATAAGAAGGACAGGGTGAACGTGACACTGACACGTTAGGTATAAAGTATATATATGTTATAACAAAAACCAAGACGATACTGTATTATGAATTAAAACTGTTATTCGAACTAGAAATGGATTCACCTCGCGCAGAATATGATTATAGGAAAGATTAACACTGAAAGTTCTGGAAAAGCACAAGGAACACAAACGGTGTTCTGCAATGTTTACATGGAGACAAGTGCTCCAATAGTGTAATAGTAATCAATATTGCAAGCGATATTCTTCATGTAAATGTATTTTAATTGAAAATATTGTCACGTCCTCGAAGAAAAAAAAACATGGTATTGACAATTAAAGCACATGGAAAACTAATGAGCATTATAAGCTGCTATTCATATCGAGCAAGTAAATTAAATAGTTCGTTTTGAAATCATGAAGGCGACAATAAACCTTGTTTATAGTCTTCATCAATTTGCATATTTGGAAACACTGTACTGCATGTTTGCCTGTCAACAGTCGACAAATATTATGGAACGTGCATCAACTGTGACATGTAAACACTAAAGATTGGGGGTGCAAGGTTGTCAATATCGAGAAAGGGAAAGTTCAAGATAGGAATATTGAAATAGTCCCTCTTATAGCGGCTGAGGTCGAAGCATCTGCAGTGTCCTTGAATTTACGGGATTTCAAACAAAATATCTTATGTTGTTTGTGGGAATATTACTTTAATTCTATAGAAATCTTAGACAACAGATTTGAACAACGATGTGAATAAATTACAACCGGACTCTTATGGATGAAATATAAAACATTAGATTATTTTTAAAATTATTATTTATAATGTATTAGGTTAAAGTGTAATCAAGCATAAAACTTCTTAGTTTGTTCAATAGTCATTTGGGAATTTTTGTATCCTTATTCAATTAAAAACATTATTTTACAATATGAGACTGTGGGTTTGACCCTGCAGCTTTAAAACTACCGATCCCTCCATTCCATATTCACTTATGTTTTGATGCTGTGTTCATGGATGAAAAGAATTTCTAGAATGCTCTGATTAATCATACAGAATTTGAACAAGGTTACCGCGAGCGGTATATGATACGCCCGTCACACATTGAATGAGCAGTTGTTTGTATGATTGAAATATATGAAGTATTTGTGAGTAATTGATATTAAAAGAGAAATCATTCAACATAACTGGTAGATCAATGAGTGCAATACAACATCATGGAACGCATGCATCGCATTAATGAAACCAAGGGTAATAACTCCAGTAATTATGGTCGGATAATGGCGGTTATCGAACTTGTCCGTGGTTTCATGGTAATTAACCTTGTTGTGAAGTTTGAAGTTAATCCGTTAA